GAAGCCTCCTGAGGCACTGATCTTTAGTCCCAGGTAGTTGTAGGAAAGCGTTTGATCCAGGGCGGCGACTCCTAGACTGAACACATGTCTGCTTTCCTGAGATCTGGCTTTCTTTTGGAAGATCATGACTTTAGATTTGTTTGGGTTGACTGTCAGGGCCCAGTTCTGACAGTACTGCTCTAGCAGATCCAAGTGCTGCTGTAGCCCCTTTTCAGTGGGCGACAGCAGCACAAGGTCATCTGCGTAGAGACCGTTTGGTTTAGTGTCAGGCCAGGTGTTGCAGATCGCTCCAGTAACACCCCTTAATCATTAATGTACATGTTAAATAGAGTAGGGGACAAGCAGCAGCCCTGCCTGACACCACACCCTCGAGTGAAGAGATCTGTCATTTTATTGCCAATTTTTATTCCACATTTATTATTGACATATATTGATTTAATGATGTCATAGACTTTACCCCCTACACTGTTTTGGAGAATCTTATATTATAGACCTTCTTGCCAAATAGAATCAAATTTTTTTAAATCTATAAAACATGCAAAGACTTTCCTCTTATTTTGTTGGTGAATATGTTGGTTGATTAGGGTGTGTAGGGTGTAAATATGGTCGGTAGTGCGATGATTTGGTAGAAAGCCAATTTGTCCTTTACTCAAGACGCTGTGTTTCGGTAAGAAGGCCTGTATTCGGGCGTTAATAATACAGCAGAAAACCTTCCCCAGGTTGCTGCTCACACAGATGCCTCGGTAGTTATTAGGGTCCAGTTTGTCTCCACTCTTGTAGACTGGGGAAATAAGCCCCCTGCACCAGATCTCAGGAAAGCAGCCGGACTGGAGAACGATGTTGAACAACCTGAGCAGAGCCTGGGCAGCTTGGGGCTGCTGCTCTTCAGCATCTCGGTCCTGATGCTGTCGGGGCCGCAGGCTTTTCTAGGTTTAAGCTTTTTGATTTGGTGATTTAATTCTTCTAGTGAGATCTGGTAATCAAGTGGGTCTTGATAGTTTTTGATACTTAATTCTAGTGTTTTTAATTTGTCTTTAATGTTCTGTTGTTCTAAGTTGAGGCTATCCTGTGGTAATTGGTCATGATTTTGTCCAGATATTTGGATTGTCTGTGGCCAGGTTTTTGTGGAGATTCTCTCTCCCCTCTCTTTTCACTCCATCTCTCTCTCTCTTTCCCTCTCTGTCTCCTGTCTCTCTTTTCTCTCCATCTCTCTCACTCACTCTCCCTCTCTCCTCTCTCTTTTCACTGCATCTCTCTCTCTCTCTCTTTCTCTCTCTCTCTGTGTCCTCTCTCTCTCTCTCTCTCTCTCTCTGTCTCCCGTCTCTCTTTTCTCTCTCTCTCTTTCTCTCTCTCTTTCTCTCTCTCTCGTTCTGTCTCTTTCCATCTCTAAGCATCATCAAGTAGGTGCAGACAGAGAAATCTGAGATCTGAGCACGTTTTCAGATCTGACCCTTGGTGGTAACTGACCCAAAGTCCAGCTACGCGCTGAGAAGAATCGACATGAGGTTTAAATGTTCGAGAGCAAATCAGAGGCCCCGTTTACACCTGGTCACTTCCTGTGTCCGGTGTCTGGATTGTCTCCTGATAAGATTTTAGCCACATGTATTTACACTTGGTCAAATGCGTCTCCGGTTAGTCGGACTGAAGTCTGATTGCTGTGGGACAGAATATGCAAATCAGCTGGTTATGCGGCGACCAATTACCAGCTGTTTATCTGTTCAGCCTCTTTGTCTGCAGTGTGTTTTGTCGTGTCGGTCCACGTTGATAATAAGCATTTTGTTTCATCCTCCATGATCATCTTCCTCACAGACACGGATCATGAGCCCAGTGACGCCCTGCATGGGGAGTCCTGGGAGGAGTTTCAGACGTACTGGGAGGGGTTTCAGTCATACTGGGAGGGGTTTCAGTTGTACTGGGAGGGGTTTCAGTTGTGCTGGGAGGGTTTTGGTTGTACTAAAGGAGTTTTGGTTGTACTGGGAGGTGTTTTGGTTGTACTGGGAGGAGTTTTGGTTGTACTGGGAGGAGATTTGGTTCTACTGGGAGGTGTTTTGGTTGTACTGGGAGGGGTTTTGGTTGTACTAGGAAGAGTTTTGGTTCTACTGGGAGGGGTTTTGGTGGTCGAATGCATCTCAGTCCTGAAGCTGTTTGAGTGATCAGATTTGCATCTTTGCTGCGTTTACACTTGTATTTTTATGCGGCCTCATCCAGATATAATCCTGATACACAAGACACATAAAGTGACCAGGTGTAAACGGGGTCTAAGGCTTGCTGTAGTCTACAACTCTGTATGAACTGCTGCTCTTCACAACTAAACGCTGCATTTTGATGACACGTCTCACTTTCATTAGGGGAAGTTTGAGTTTGCTTTGCAGTAATGAAAATAAAGATTTAATCCACTTTTAACACAGCAGTGATCTGAGGCACCAGAGCTTTGATGGAGTTTTGTCTAGTTATACATTTCAACAGTGTTTTAGTTTGTATCCTGCAGCATCGGTGGTGATACAAACACACCTGTAGGCACTGAAGCAGGGCTGTAACCGATGAAGAAACCTATTGACTCAAAGTGGCATCAGTTGGTATCACTTTCCTTACCTTCACTGTTTAGTTTCTGAACTTTTATGTTTCTTTTGGAAGGAACAAGCCATAGCAGTTTCAGAGTAGATTTTAATGTAGACTCTTTACCACTGCTACTAGAAAAATGTGCCAAGCCCAAAATATAATAGTTTATACTGATGGTTTTGGCTGGCCAGAGTCCAGATTTAAACGCTATAGACCACTGTAGTCATGATATCATTTTGTAGTTGGTGCCATGCTCTTATGCCCATATTAGGAACTCTGGGTCTAAGCCTGATTTCTCTATGGCCAGAATGAATAGGGTTTCCGAAAATCGGGAAATCTCTCGAATATCGCTGGATCCTCTGAACTACAAAGTCGTTAAAGGTTGAAATATAAATATTGATACATGTGAGCTAAAGCTACTGCGCACTGGATTCACGTCATTAGACTGGCAGCCTCCTTAAGCACGCCTTGCCAGTGTGGTAGCGTATTTCCATGTTCAGATGAAAAGACGTCAGAACAAAAGAAGCAGGTTTCCCTGCAGTTCTCTGTTCTTCATCTGGTACTGAAACACCATAGATCTGTCCATTCTGTACTGCTTGATTTGAAAAGCTCTACAAACTGACCTGCACTGAACTGCACAGACTCAGCTCAATATCACTCTCAGAATATCCCAATTATCATTTTAATGCTGGTAACATTTTCTGAGAACATTTTCTCAGGACATTTACCAGCTTTTTATTCAAATTTCTCATTCCACCTTAAATAGTGCAGCAGTTACATTCTGAAAAGAGGCAATTTTTCAAAAACCCCGTTCATTCTGACCATAGAAAAATCAAGCTTAGACCTGGAGTTCCTAATGTGGGCATGAGGCCGACTACAGAATGATGCACGACTACAGTGATCTATAGGGAACATTTGGTCTCTCATTAAACACAACTAGTAGGACTGTCTGCAAATTTACAGACAAAACTTCAACAGATAAATAAATTGCTTAATCTATTTGTTTAATGATTTGTTGTAAAGCCCAGGAGTAAACAATGCTAATCTGCTCTATGGGATTTCCAGTGTTATGTTAACACCACATACGCATGACCAGCTATGCAAAGAGCATAGAATAGAAAGTAGGATTCAATTTTACTGACAGAGGCCGTGTTGGGGGTTTAGTTGGACAGTAACCAAATATTTTATAAAAATTTCATTACAAAAAATTTAAATAATGCACATTATTTTAATGCATGTGATAAAAGGTCAAGAGTCATGCGGGAGTGAGACCACAGAGCACCATGATCAGCTAACCTTAGCTTAGCTTAGCCAGGGGGTATAATGCTGTGTCAAATTAGCTATCGCTTACAAACTTTTAAAGTCAATGTGAATCGGAAATCAGAATTCATTTTTGTCTGTAACTTGCTGTATTTCCAAGTGAAGCAGGACATTCAGGTGGGAAATAATTGTTTCACTTAAATAATTTTACTGCTGTGACTGATCAGGGTAAAAGGGGGCTAAGAAAGTGTGCAGAGAAACAGATGGACTACAGTCTGTAACTGTAGAACTACAAAGTGCACCTATATAGTAAGTGGAGCTGATAAAATGGACAATGAGCGTAGAAACAAGGAGGTGGTCAGAATGTTATGGCTGATCGGTGTGTGTTCTTCACAGAAAATAAGGGAAGGCCAAGAATCTGAGGTTGAAATAACACAGCATCTCATAGTGACTCTAACAGTGACTTACTACATCAAACTAATGAGTCAGTATTCTTCAACGGTTCTTTAGTAAAGGTAACAGTTTAATTAAGTACATATATATATATATATTATATATATATATATATATATGTATGTATAGGTAATTGCTGCATCATTTAAGGTGCTGTACTGGTTACATTCTTATTGGGCGGGAGTCGAGAGCCGGAGTTAACTCCAGAAAGTCGTGCATCACTACACACTTAACAAAGATGGTTCTTCAAGGGTTCTTTAGTAAAGGCAATGGTTCTATTTAGAGCAATAAGTTCTATATTGAACCGTTTCATGCTTAAATGTTTCTTTGCATGGTGAAATGGTTCATCAGATTGATGGAGCGTGTCTTTATATGGTTCTGTATAGCACCAAAAACGGTTCTACTGTTGTAACAAGCTTGACATCATAACAATAGCAGACCTCTTATTGGTCTATATAGAACCATGGGGGGTTTTACAGTCCTGTGGCCTCCACAGAGCAGTTGATTTATTGATTGCTGTCAGGATGTGAGGAGTATTTAAAGAAATATAACATGAAATATTTCTAAAATGAATCATCTGCTCCACCTTTATGTGTCTAACTGAGAAAACTCCCCGTTCAGAGCTCCTGTGTGCTGTAGTAGCAGCGGGAGGCTGAAGCAGGCTGAAGACTTCTGATGTGTTAAAGTCAGTGTTAACGAGGGTCTCTCGCTCTCTCGCTCACCTGCAGGTCTGTCGGATGACCCTGCTGACCTGGAGAAGCGGTGGCAGGTTTTCGGACAGAACTTCATCCCCCCTAAAAAGCCGAAGACGTTCCTGCAGCTGGTGTGGGAGGCGCTGCAGGATGTCACTCTCATCATCCTGGAGATCGCAGCCATCATCTCGCTCGGCCTCAGCTTCTACCAGCCTCCGGGGGGCGACAGTGAAGGTAAACCTCATTAACCAGACCTTACATTATGCACGTTGGGTTCTAGAGGTCTGCTACCCTACCCAGAGTCTCACGGAACCAGGCCTCCTACTGTCTCGGAACTTCTGAGGACATTGATGTAAAATTTTGGGCTAAATTTGGGGGAATGAAGGTTTATTATACAACCCCATTTCCAAAAAAGTTGGGACGCTGTGCAGAATGTAATTAATAATAGAATGCAATGATATGCAAATCATGTGGACCATATTTACTACAAAGACAACATATCATAACAAATGTTGAAACTAAAAAGTCTTATTGTTGTTTGAAAAATATTTGCCCATTTTGAATTTGATGCCAACAGCACGTTCCAAAAAAGTTGGGACGGGGGCCTGTTTACCACTGTGTTTCATCACCTCTTCTTTAACAGCACTCTGTAAGAGTTTGGGAACTGAGGAGACACTGCTGTAGTTTAGAAAGTGAAATGTGTTCCTGTTCTTGTTTGATACAGGATTTCAGCTGCTCATCAGTTCAGGGGCTCATTTGTCATATTTTTCATTTCATAATGTGCCAAAAATGTTCTCAGTGGTGACAGGTCTGGACTGCAGGCAGGTCAGTTTAGCACCTGGACTCTTTTAATGCAGAGCAATGCTGCTGTAATACATGCAGAATGTGGTTTTACATTGTCTTGCTGAAATAAACAAGGCCTTCCCTGAAAAAGACGTCGTCTGGATGGCAGCATATGTCGCCAAAACATGTATATATCATTCAGCATTAATGGTGCCTTCACAGATGAGCACGTCACCGATACCATGTGCAATAAGGCCCCCCTAGACCTTCATGAATACTGGCTTTTGAACTGTGCACTGATAACAAGCTGAGTGGTCTTTAGCCCGGAGAACACAGTGTCCATGATTTCCAAAAAGAATTTCAAATGTTGATTCGTCGGACCACAGGACACTTTTTCACTTCGCCTCAGTCCATTTTAAATGAGCTCAGGCCCAGAGAAGGTGGCAGTGTTTCTGGATCCTGTTTATATTTGGTTTCTTCTTTGCATTTTAGAGTTTTAACTTGTATTTGTGGATGCAGTGATGAACTGTTTTCACAGACAGTGGTTTTCAAAGTGTTTCTGAGCCCATGCAGTGATTTCCACTACAGAATCATGTCTGTTTTTAATGCAGTGCTGTCTGAGGGCCTAAAGATCACAACCAGCAAATACTGTTTTTTGGCCTTGTCCCTTACATATGGAGATTACTATAAATATATATATATATATATATATATATATATATATATATATATATATATATATATATGTTATAGAATTATGTGATATATATATATATATATATATATATATGCGCATTATGTACTTAACACTATTATATCCATAAAACTAAAAAGCATGATGTGGTTTAGAAGGTTTCTAGTTCCGTTGCTGTACCTCCACCTGCACAGGTGTGTGTTTACCTGCTCTAACTCACCTGAATCAGCTCCGGAGGGACTTCATCACTTCATCATTACTAATGATCAGGTGGATGACAGAACTGCAGCACTGAGCCAAAACACTGGGGCTGGATTGAGAGAGAGAGAGAGAGAGAGAGAGAGAGAGAGAGAGAGAGAGAGAGAATATATCAAAATATCAGAATGTTTAATGTTGTTACGCTGTTGTACATTTTCCAAATACTAAAACAAATTTCCCTCTTTCTGCCATCTCTTTTTCCTCTCTCATATTCTGTCTCTTCTCTCTTTCTCTCACCATCTCTGTTTCTTTCCTGTCTGTCTCTCTCTCTCTCTCTCTCTCTCCTTCTCTTTTTCTGCTCTCTCTCTCTCTCCTTCTCTTTTTCTGCTCTCTCTCTCTCCTTCTCTTTTTCTGTTCTCTCTCTCTCTCTCTCTCTCTCTCTCTCTCTCTCTCTCTCTCTCTCTCTCAGTCTGTGGTAATGTCTCAGGAGGAGTGGAGGATGAAGGTGAAGCTGAAGCAGGGTGGATTGAAGGAGCGGCGATCCTGCTCTCGGTTCTCTGTGTGGTTCTGGTGACGGCATTTAATGACTGGAGTAAAGAGAAACAGTTCCGTGGCCTGCAGAGCCGGATAGAGCAGGAGCAGCGCTTCGCTGTGGTCAGGAACGGCACCGTCCTGCAGATCCCTGTGGCCGAGATGGTGGTGGGGGACATTGCCCAGGTCAAATACGGTCAGTACGGATCATGTCTTCTTCTACTGCTCAACTTTGAAGCAACTAGAGAACATTATAGAGCATTTCCATATCGCCCCCTACACTTCCTGTAGTGTATTACAGTCTGTCAGAATGACTGTGTGGATCATATGAACATTATAGAGCTTTTTAAATGAAACAGTAGAAGCCATATCGCCCCCTACACTTCCTGTAGTGTATTACAGTCTGTCAGAGTGACTGTGTGGATCATATGAACATTATAGAGCTTCTTAAATGAAACAGTAGAAGCCATATCGCCCCCTACACTTCCTGTAGTGTATTACAGTCTGTCAGAGTGACTGTGTGGATCATATGAACATTATAGAGCTTTTTAAATGAAACAGTAGAAGCCATATCGCCCCCTACACTTCCTGTAGTGTATTACAGTCTGTCAGAATGACTGTGTGGATCATATGAACATTATAGAGCTTTTTAAATGAAACAGTAGAAGCCATATCGCCCCCTACACTTCCTGTAGTGTATTACATCCAAATGTTTTTGGACACCACAAAACGGTGGAACCCCAAAATAGTGCACTAAAAAGTGATAGGTCACAGTTTCAGACACTCAGTCATTGGACCTCACTCTCCTGTATCTTCCTAAGTTTGTTCTAAAATGTGTTCTTGAGAAAGGACCTAAAAAAAGGCTACGTCAGGTTCATGTTGTGTTCTTAAAGTGCAGAACTGTTCTCACCTTTGTGCTCTTGAGTGTGTGTAGATTCTGTTCTCACCTCAGAACAATAAGAGAACACTGGTGACTGTCAGAGTCTTCGTCAAAACTGCAGGCTTTAAGAAGAAAGTTCTTCTTAGGAACTGTTGGTGAATGAGACCCAGTGTCTTTGTTCTGTGCTATTTAAATATAAGGCTATGTAATAAATTGCATTTAACGCTCTATTGCATGATGTTGCCTCAGGGCAACAAACTCATTTTTTTTACTTCACAATAACATCATACATAATATTATACACACATATACATAGGGTTAACAATAAAGAGAGGAGTTTGGGTAAGTTAATAAAAAGCATGTATTTGGTCTCTTACTGGGCATATTTAAACTCCTTTTTAACATTTCGTATCTCTTTGTTATGAGAATAGAAATATGTTTGTTGCCTAGAAGCAACACTGTGCTACAGTGGAATGGATTCAGCCAGTCACAAGCCAGGTCTCACCACTTCAGGGAACACGGCCCTATATCATTTCTTCCTATTGTCGCACAATGTTGCCTCAAGGCAATATACCCAAAAGGACCACTGCACACATTTTTTTAATGCTTTGAAATTTAGTAATCAGGTTTAAAAAATAAATCAAGGACCAACTTATGCAGGAAAAGTGAATTGAATATTTTTTTAATTGCTCTCATAATGTGTGCAGTAGAGGGTTAACTTTGATTTACATGCTGTACTGACAGGTTCGAGTCTAAGGGGTTTCGAGTTTAAGGGGTTGAGATTAGAGTTAAGATCAAGGTTAGAACATTTTAGCATATTTTGTAGTGGTGTTTTTGGCTCTGATCTGTGTGCAGGTGACCTCCTCCCGGCTGATGGAGTGCTGATCCAGGGGAACGACCTGAAGATCGACGAGAGCTCCCTCACCGGAGAGTCCGACCACGTACGCAAAGCCATCGACAGAGACCCCATGCTGCTCTCAGGTGCAGGACGAGACTCACTTTGTGTTGTTTAACGTCACTGTGTCCATTTCAGCATAACGTCCCCCAAAGGAACAGTTTAAGATAAATAAGACCAGGAGACTGGAACCTAACCTCTAATAGACCTGATTATGTGGTCTCTGACACTGTATGACTCACTGTTATCTATAAACATGAAAGGTACACTCTCAAAAAACATGGTTCTTCAAGGGTTCTTTAGTAAAGGCAGTAGTGCTGTTTAGAACAATGTTATGCTGAAATGGTTCTTTGCATGGAGAAATGGTTCTTCAGATTGATGGAGAATCTGCTGTATATGGTGTTTAAAAAATGGCTTTGTACCAAAAATGGTTCTCCTTTTGTATACAAGCTTGACCTGGTAACAATAGCAGAACCCTTTTTGGTTCTAATCTCCTAAATCCTGTCCTAACTTTAGGATGAACCCCAACAGGGTCCTCACTTCTGTTTAAGGTCCGTTTCTATGGTTTTTAGGCAGCTGTGTCAGCAGCATAGTTCACTACCAGCATAATGAGCTCCATTTATTCCTACTGTAAAACGCTGCTTTCACTGTGAGATGATTTTCTTTTCTAACTCTGCGTTTTAAAGATCTCAGACGCTGCAGACTCGATCTCCACCGCCCCTCTGATCACCTTCGTGTGTTAATGTTGATGATGAAATATTACAGTGATGGTGGTGAATAATGAGGAGACGGAGCTGAACGTGTGTCTGTTTATTAGGAGGAGTAACGTTAGCGCGCTCGGCTAAAGCGTTTGGGAAATGGAGACTGAAACTGGGGAGCGGCGACGCTCTGATAAACAGCAGGGGGCGCTCTCACAGTATTCACACCTTACAGTTTATCACACTTTAGTTTAGTTTGACCTTTTTTACATCAGCATCAGCAGCTGTAGCTCACATTTTTAACATTATTTTGATTGCATGGTTACATTTCAGCTGTGTGTGTGTATTGTCGGTTGCTAGGCAACAGACATGACAGTTGATTTTTGACTTTGATCGAGTAGGTTAAGATTTCCTGACTTGAGATAAGATGCTGTAAGATAATGTAACCACCTGCTCTTAATGAATACGAGTACTATTAACTCTGTTATCTCTAGTCTAGGTTCTTTAAGGACTCTGGCTGATTTAATTCAGTCTGGCTGATATAAAAAATATCCCTTTCTCCCCAAAGATGACAAAAGACAACAATTATTAATGATTTGATGTGTGTATTCAGTGTTTATTATCTTTCTATGCTGTTAACAAAGAAAATAATATCTATCTATCTAATATTACATTATTTAAATCTAGCAAGAATATTTAAAATTTACATTATACACTGAATTTGTTAGTTGAACAAAAAAGTAAATAACTATAATAATAATAATAATAATAATAATAATAATAAAGAAGCAATGTAAATGAATATTTCAATAAAAACAAACAAATAAATAAATCAGTTCCCTTTCCCTGAGTGCACTCAGTCCCTTCCGCCCTTCCTCAAGATAATGAGGATGGTGTCAGAAAGCTGGCGGTTGTGTGTTGTGATGAACTGATGGTGCAGAGGTGATGCTGCGGCTCAGTGAGGGTGACCGGGCGGTCCAGCTCAAATGGAGCTCAGTAATATTAGTAATAATGAAAACAGCCAGGATCTGTCCGTGTTTCGTGTACAAGGTGACAAAGTGTCATGTCAGCGATGAAATCACATGCGTGTGTGTGTGTGTGTGTGTGTGTGTTAGTGTGTGTGTGTGTGAGTGTGTGTGTGTGTGTGTGTGTGTGTGTGTGAGTGTGTGTGTGAGTGTGTGTGTGTGCGTGTGTGTGTGTGTGTGTGTGCGTGTGAGTGTGTGTGTGTGTGTGTGTGTGTGTGTGTGTGTGTGTGAGTGTGTGAGTGTGTGTGTGAGTGTGTGTGTGTGTGTGTGTGTGTGTGAGTGTGTGTGTGGATAGTCTTCTTTAAGAATGTGTGTCTGTTTTGAAGCGTTTTCTTAGATGAAAAGATCTACCTATTTGGAGACTCTAGCTCTAACTTTAGCTCTGCTAATGCCTTGTTAATGAAGAAGCTGCAGTTTAAAGGGACGGTCCGACAGTGTGCTTGTGCTGTTAGAGGGTTGTCTGAGGGGATCTTCATATCAAAACGCTCCGTGTTCTTCATCACTGCTTTCCAAAACCGCTGCAGCAACTTCAGCAGCTGTAAACTCTCTGCACGCCGTTTCACATGAGTCTCCGATGTGGACTGAATGAAGAATGAAGGGTTTCCGGCGTGATGGTCAGTCCTTAGTGATTTCCTGAGTGTCCATTGGTCAGTTTCACACAGAATGTAGATGGACACACGAATCCACCAGTTCCACACGGTGAGAGGCAGATGACGTGTATCTCAGCCCCTCTTCATAGGCTCATAACTCCGGATGTGAGTCTCGTATGATCTCGTGATACGATGGACTGGAAAGGGCGACTCTACAGATTCAGGAAGTGTTTGAACTGGATTTCTGTGCTGGATCATCACAAAGATACAGACACAGATATAGAGGCAGAGAATTTAATGCGTGGATGAATTTGTGGACCCCCGATGGTTAAAGGGACAGTAGCACAGTTTGTTCTTTGTGAAAAATCTTATCTTGACCTGTCAGATCTTAGCTCAGGACTAGACATGGAAGTTTCCATAATACAGCACCTAATCTATAAGTTATTCAGTACTTAAAGCAGCACTATGTAGGATTTGGGGATTTGGAGACCTCTCTGGCGGAAATATCTAATTGCATGCAACGTTTGGAAGAACATTTTGTACTTCTGACTCCCACAAGCAGATGAATCTGACTTCTGTGAGTGAGTTGAATGAGAATTCAGAGAGAACTACTGTCATCACATCTTCATCAGTATGATGTTGATTTTGAGATCATTTGAGGCCAAAACATTGAGCCGGACCTTCTTTTTGAGTCTGTGTGACGTTAATACGTAAAGACGTACGATGTGGTGTGAAAAACTCGACGCCTCTGACTTTTAAAGGTTTATACCAGGCTTTACAGGCGACTCACAGCAGCTCAAGCTCACCATATTTTAGCCCGTTTATTCTCCTCAGTCATGACACTTCCGTCAGTGTTAACGAAAAATCTTACACAGTGCAGCTTTAGGTAGTTTTGACTAGTTTGTTTATTATCAAACTATTCCTTCGATGCTGGTGTCCAGTCCAAATGTTCGGCCCCTCATCATGTTTATATGAAAATATCTCCATGTTTGATGCGATCGCTTCCTTTGAGGCAGATGTAAACATTTCTCACTGTGTGCGGATGTGGCTGGTGGATGAAGCTGATTGGCTGATAAACGTCCGGCTCATCTTTCTCTCTCTGTGTCTCTCTGGAGGCTGATAACGAGCTAATCAGATTCCTGCTGCTCAGAGATGAGCTTAGAGGCGCATTAGAGCCTCAGAGACGCTCGATCTGCCAGCCTAATGATCTCAGCAGCACACAGCGGCACCGCGCAGCACCGGGCCGCGTCGTCAGGGCCACGTCGTCAGGGCCGTAACCACACACGGATTCTCGGGTTCAGTACAGTTTCTGGTTCGATTCAAGGTGCATCATGAACTTTTATGGCCAATCCTAGTTTCTCTACAGCCGAAGATTTTTTTAGTGATTTTTATAAAATTATAAAATGTAGATATTTCAGCAACAAAGAAACTAGACTGGGAGAGTTTGTGAGTTGGCCTGACAAACTCTCAGGTGGGCTGTGAAATCTCTGGTGGTTGCTAAGGTGTGCCTGTGGTACCCCAGGTGGTTGTTAAGGTGTTGCTATGGTATTCCAGGTGGTTGCTAAGGTGTTACTAGGTCATTGCTATGGCATCACAGGTGGTTGCTAAGGTGTTGCTAGGCTGTTGCTATGTTATTCGAGGTGGTTGCTAAGATGTTACTAGGTCATTGCCATGGCATCCCAGGTGGTTGCTAAGGTGTTGTTAGGCTGTTGCTATGTTATCCCAGGTGGTTGCTAAGATGTTACTAGGTCATTGCTATGGCATCACAGGTGGTTGCTAAGGTGTTGCTAGGCTGTTGCTATGTTATCCCAGGTGGTTGCTAAGATGTTACTAGGTCATTGCTATGGTATCCCAGGTGGTTGCTAAGGTGTTGCTAGGCTGTTGCTGTGTTATCCCAGATGGTTGCTAAGGTGTTGCTATGGTATCCCATGTGGTTGTACCATGTTGCTATGGTATCCCAGGTGGTTGCTAAGATGTTACTAGGCCATTGCTATGGTGTCCCAGGTGGTTGCTAAGATGTTACTAGGTCATTGCTATGTATCCCAGGTGGTTGCTAATGTGTTGCTAGGCCGTTGCTGTGGTAACTCAGGTGGTTGCTAAGGTGTTGCTAGGCTATTGCTATAGTATCCCAGGTGTTTTTTAAGGTGTTGCTATGGTATCCCAGGTGGTTGATAAGGTGTTGCTAGGCCATCGCTATGGTATCCCAGGCAGTTGCTTAGTTGTTACTAGGTCATTGCTAAGGTATTCCAGGGGGTTGCTAAGGTGTTGCTAGGCTGTTGCTGTGGTTTCCCAGGTGGCTGCTAAGGTGTTGCTAGGCTGTTGCTGTTGTATCCCAGGTGATTGCTAAGGCGTTGCTAGGCTATTGCTGTGGTATTCCAGGTGGTTGTAAAGGTAGTGCAATGGTATCCCAGGTGATTGCTTGGATGTTACTATGTCATTGCTATGCATTCCAGATGGTTGCCAAGGTGTTGCTACGCTGCTGCCAAGGTATCCCAGGTGGTTGTAAAGGTGCTGCTATGTTATCCCAGGTGGTTGCTAAGATGTTACTAGGTCATTGCTAAGTCATCCCAGGTGGTTGCTATGGTGTTGCAGCACAGTTGCTGTGGTGTCCTAGGTGGTTGCTAAGGTGTTGCAGTACAAAGGCAAATTTAATAACATCGTTTTTTTGCTCTTTACCTGAGTCCTGCACGCTTTATAAACACACTGACAAGAATGGCAAATACTTGAGTGCTTGGTTAATTGGTTATTTACTGTACTTAAGATTTATACTTTACTCGAGTATTAATAGCAATGTTTCCATCGACTTTCTGCACAAATTTCAAACGATAAAATGAAATTGCGATTTTCTTTCTATGCCACTTTTAGCCTTAAAAATGCGATAGCACTTTACTCGACCTACATTACGCTGACACAATCATGATCCTGTGATGGAGATGCTGTATTCTGTCCTGACTTATTTTGACTAGAATACAATGACATGTTACATCACAGGTAATTGTCATAATGTTTGATGTCAGGACAGCAAGTGCTGATCTTTGACAATCCCTATGATAACGACGTCTAGATTCTGTAGCGCTCCAAGATTTGTTCAGGAAAATTTTATGTCAAAATCAAAAGATAATTATTTAAATGAATATTATTTATGTATTTATTTAAATTTCCATTTTAACTATTTATTCGAAGAGTGTCCTGTATATGTCATTTTTTTTAATTCTGCATATAAATAAACACATAAAAAATAAATAAATAAGACTAGAGTCATTAAAATAACTGTAAGCTGAAGCTTTTCCTTTGCTGCAGTGTTTCAGGATGATGAGCGTATCTGTCAGTGTTTCTGTGTCTGCATCACGTGAAGCTTTCAGTCTGAGAGATAGAAACAGAGAGAGAGAGAGAGAGAGAGAGAGAGAGAGAGAGAGAACAAAGCCAGGCTCTACAGCAGCATAAACCGGATTACATGCACTAACACACACTAATACGCAGATAAACACAGTCTTAGACAGAGCGGTGGACGTTACAGTGGTGATTTACTGCTGAAGTGAATTGATCACTAATTTGAAAGCTCAGAAAAGAGACATTAAAATCCTGCCTGAATGAAAATGCATGTATTATTCATGTATATTTTTATTGAAATGAATTATTTAGCCATTTAATCCTGTATTCGAGGATCTAGAGGAAGATTTTTATGCACATCAGTGAGTGAAATGTGGAAGTGAAGATGTTTTAATAAAAGTTTTAATGCAGCGGTCAGAGTTCAGCTCTGCTGATGTGACACATTTGGTTTTATTTTCGGTTTAATGGAGGCAGAGATTAAAGCGATAGTTTGGCAAAAATGTTTTTACCCACTACAGCAACAAATCAAATAGGATCAAGGCAATATGCTCAAATATGAGTTAATATGCTTTAAGATGAGGTTTAAAAAGTGATAAAACGTGTTTAACTGCCTTTGCTGGATTGGATATGTATCAGCTGGATGTGTTTTCTTTAGTGGGCTTGAGTTGAATAAATGTAAATAAAAGAAATCACTTCTGTCTTCTAACTTTTCTAGTTCTAACTGTGCTGGAAAATGTTTAGGGTGATATAACATGACATAACGTCTAAAATGACATATATAATGTTTATTTGTTAATTCAATAGCTAGTATAACTAATACTAATTTTAGCATGTTTGCTTGCAGAGCCAGTGTTTTACACTCACATTTTCAGGCTCAAGCTTTGGTTGACAGTGTAACCAAGGTGTGACATACCGGGGGGTTGAGGGGGTCCAGGACCACCTAATTACTCTCTTGGACCCTCTGAATGTCCCTGAAAATAAACTTATTATGAAGTTATTATAAATTATACAACAGTTAGTTCCGGCCACACGAGCTGATTGGTTGAGCAGCGTTCTAACTGTGCTGTTATTTCACCATAACATCACAGGTTTTTCACAAACACTGTATCGGTCCACTGAGACGCCGTTGCTTAGCAACGACTTTGCCAGCTGTAGGAGACGCTCAAGACATTTTAACGTTTTTACTTCTTACTTTGCCACAAACAGAAAACGGACACTTTTAAGATCACATTTGACCGACAGCCGATTTGGTCAGACTCTGAAGATGAGACGACACTAAATTCCCAAACTGTCAGCACCACTGAGCAGCTTTTCAGTCGGCAGCTGAGACAGAAGAACAGCTGAACAACCTGGAATCAGCCAGAAATGAACCCAACACCATTCGCCAAACTAAATGTGCTGTAAGATGCTTTACAGACTGACTATCGCTAATCGCATTTATTTATATAACAATTAATCATCAGCTAAAATTTCGTGATTTGCCTGTCAACAAAACAGAGAATTTGACGAGCGGCTAAAACTAAAGAGGAAAGACTTTTGGCAAGTAAAATATTTTAAATTATTGCTAAGGTGTTCCCAGGCTGTGCCTGTGGTACCCCAGGTGGTTGCTAAGCCGTTGCTGTGGTATCCGAGGTGGTTGCTAAGGTGTTACTAGATCATTGCTATGGCATCCCAGGTGTTTGCTAAGGTGTTGCTAGGCTGTTGCTATGTTATTCCAGGTGGTTGCTAAGATGTTACTAGGTCATTGCTATGGCATCCCAGGTGTTTGCTAAGGTGTTGCTAGGCTGTTGCTATGTTATCCCAGGTGGCTGCTAAGATGTTACTAGGTCATTGCTATGGTATCCCAGGTGGTTGCTAAGGTGTTGCTAGGCTGTTGCTGTGTTATCCCAGGTGGTTGCTAAGATTTTACTAGGTCATTGCTATGGTATTCCAGGTGGTTGCTAAGGTGTAAAGAGGAAAACTTTTGGCAAGTAAAATTTTTTTAAATCATGTCATTATATCTAATATTACTCATTTTAAGACTGTTGTAAGCTTATAATAAGATTACTTAACTTATTTCTAGACTTTTGTACGAGTTTTAAGTAATTTTATTAAGTAAAATTATCTCACTATGTTGGCAGATCATTTTGTTAATTTTAAGAAATGAGCTTGAAACCAGCAAAATTATCTGCCAGTATAGTGAGATAATTTTACTTGGTACAATGACTTTAAACAAGTAAAAGCATCTACAAACAGGTTTTATAATCTTATAATATTTGTGGAACCATCTCAAAATGAGAAATATTAGATATTTAGACTAGATTTTAGATGATTTATCTTGTTAAGGTATCATTTATTTGCAGTGCAGACACCACACATGACCTGACTGATCACACTGCAAAAATGGTATCAAGTAAAATCTTTAATATAGTCAATAAATCTAATATTTCTCCTCTTGAGATTATTATAAGTTTATTGTAAGATTGTTTACCTTATTTCTAGACATTTTTACTTGTTTTAAGTCATTTTATTAAGTAAAATTATCTCACTATGTTGGCAGATAATTGTGCTTGTTGTAAGAAATGAGTTTAAAACCAGCAAAATTATTAGTGAGATAATTTTATTTAATAAAATGTAAAACTAAAACAAGTAAATATTTCCAAAAATAAGCTAGATAGTATAATAAGAGCACAAGCGTCTCAAAATGGGAAATGTTAGATATATAGACTAGATTTAAGATCATTTTACTCGACAAGAGGCCATTTTTTGCTGTGCAGCCACGTTTGAGATCAGAGAAAATTGGACTTTTTAATCGAACTGTTGCTGTAAGATTGGACTTCCTGTGTGATATAAACTCAAGCACTTTCCATAAAGTGTTTAATTTGTGCTGTTTTTCAGGCACCCATGTTATGGAGGGTTCGGGGAAGATGGTGGTGACCGCTGTGGGCATCAACTCTCAGACCGGGATCATCTTCACCCTGCTGGGGGCCGGAGAGGTGGAGGAGGAGAAGAAGGAGAACAAGAAGGGTAGGAAAACTTTACCAGCAGCTTCAGCTGCTAAAACACGTGTGAGAAATGTGTAGTGTGGAGGGAACGATCACCCAGAGCTTCTCTCCTCATCATCAGTGTCCTCCTTTGGGTTTTAGAAGACAGGAATTAATTAGGACAGAATTAGGACGAGCTCTGGTTCCGGCGTTCTGGCTCATGAGAGGAAATTCAACTCATTGCCCTTAAAAGCAGCCATGAAAACGGCTTAAAGCTGTTGGCCTGGGTAGTGAGGGTGATTTCATACAGTAAAAACACTCTGTACTCTGCATAAATAATAAGTGATCTCAAATCTAATCAATATATCCAATATTTCCCATTTGGAGATTGTTGTAAGCTTATAATGATTATTTAACTTAATTCTAGATGTTTTTCCTTGTTGTTTAGTGATTTCAGTAAATAAAATGATCTCATTATGTTGGCAGACAATGTTTCTTGGTTCAAGCCCATTTCTTACAACAAGACAATTATTTGCTGATACAGTGAGATCATCTTTACTATCAATCGCTTAAAACAAGAAAAACTGTAGATGTGTTGACTTATTTTCACTAACACTGCAAAAAATGATCTCTTAGCGAGTGAAATCATCTTAAATCTGGTCTATATGTCTATTATTTCTCATTATGAGGCAGTTGTAAGAATTATAAGATTATTGACCTTATTTTGAGAAATGATGCAAATAATTGTGATTATTTTAAGAAATAATGTTTGAAACAAGTAAAATGATCTGCCAATGGAATGAAAAACCTCATAATGAGAAATATTAGATATATTGATGAGATTTGAGATCATTTCTCTTGCTAAGGGATCATTTTTTGCAGTGAAGTCAATCAATAACCACATGGAATTTGACTAGGGGCGCCTAAACTTTTTCATAGGACTCTACACTGATTAGAAATAACATTCTGACCACCTCCTCGTTTCTACGCTCATTGTCCATTTTATCAGCTCCACTTACTATATTTCATCAGTGGTCACAGGGCGCTGCCCACAGGACGCTGTTGGCTGGATATTTTTGGTTGGTGGACTATTCTCAGTCCAGCAGTGACACTGAGGTGTTTAAAAACTCCAGCAGCACTGCTGTGTCTGATCCACTCAGACCAGCGCAACACACACTAACACACCACCACCACGTCAGTGTTACTGCAGTGCTGAGAATGATCCACCACCCAAATAGTACCTGCTCTGTGAGGGTCCATGGGGGTCCTGACCACTGAAGAACAGGGTAAAAGGGGGCTAACAAAGTATCAGAGAAACAGATGGACTACAGTCTGTAACTGTAGAACTACAAAGTGCACCTATATAGTAAGTGGAGCTGATAAAGTGGACAATGAGCGTAGAAACAGGGAGGTGGTCATAATGTTATGCCCGATCGGTGTGTATATATTCCTCTGAAATTCAGTTCATGTCCAGAGTAGACTGAGCTGAAACTAGTTTTGACGGACATTTGTGCACAGCACGGTAGCGGTCATGTACACTTCGAGTCTGTGGCTAAAAACACAGCATTACATTAACATTTATGCTATTTTGTGCAGTACAGGCTCAATCAAAATAGCACACAGGCTACATTTCAACTTGTAGTTTCAGTGAATGTGAAATGACTAATTGTGGAGAAACTTACAGACTCGGATGTGTTTACAGTGGTGGTGATAGGAACCAGGGGTCACCATGACTACAACACAGAGATAGCCATTTTATTTACTATCCAGAACCACCAGTGAACCTACACGAGTCTTCTGAGTTTATATGGAATGATGATGATGGTTGATAAATCTGAAATAATAAGTTTTCTTTGGGGACTATTTTGCCTCACAGCGCCCTGCATGTATCCCTCCACCATGAATGGAGTTTAAGTTCTCTAAACTATCATAAAACAGTGTCTCAGTCATCAGGCAGTGAATTCATAACCATTTACTGTAGGAACTTTCTGTGAGGGAGCTTTTAGAGGTGGACGTCTGGTTCCTATCACCACCACTGTGAACAGTTCTGACTCTAGAACGGAGCGTTTCACACCAAACCACTCTGAACCGCTCTGTTTACATCTTAAGCGCTTAATTATCAGAAATTAAATATAGTTAAATGATAAAATTTTGATATATAATGGAGTCTTAGAGTAGTAGTGGTCGGTAGAAGTTATTCCGGAGTGATTGCCGCACTTTTGTTTCCTTCTGTTCCACCTTAAACGGTGCAGCAGCTACAGTCAGATGCCTGTACAGGCGCCAAAATGTAAGTGCTGCTCCATTTAAGGTGGAACGGAAAGTTGATCAAGCAGCTGCTGAAGCCGTTCAACACTCAGACATTAACAACATTCAGCACCATTTTTGCCAACTGTCAGATTTTTTCTTATCTGTTTTTTGGCAGCGGTAAAATTTTCACACACTATTTCAAAATAATTACTGATTTTCTAAAAATGTTGACTCGAAATATGGGCTTAATGTCTTATTTGATCAAAATATTCACACAGTAGCTCAAAATAATGACAGGTTTTCAATATTGTTCAGTTTCGAAATATTGGATTTGTCAACAATATTTAAGATAATTTTACCATTTTTTGCAGCATGTTATAAAGTGAAGGAACATCCCAGAATAATAAGCCACTATAAACCTACAAAAATTGGTTTATTTAAGCATCTAAAATGGTTTTATTAGAAGAAAAATATGTAAACATACCATGATATACACCAAAACGTTTAGAAATTTGAATTATACTCTGATATAAATGTTTGTGCGTACCACTCACTACAACCATAGACTGTAGATATTATTATTTTTTAAAGTTAATATTGTTTATTGTCATATCTGGGACTTTTAGAAGAGCACATTGTCCAGCTCTGACTCAAACTGACCTGTGATTACAGATGAGAAATGTTTATTCACTCATTTTGATTCAGTGTTTCATAGTTTTTCATTTAACTTTTATGTTCTCTCATTCTTTGTTTTGCATGCCACCTTCATCCGTGCCCCGTATCCTATTTGCTAACCAAAGCTGAGATCAATAGTAGCTCGTCCGTGCAGTTTGCCGCGGCTCCCGCCAAAGAGTGCAGCGTTGTTAATGGTAGGTGAAGCTCACAGCCGCAGAGAGAACAGTGGTGACTGGAACTGAGGGCTTTGGCTTACATCACTTCCTTTAGCTCACATTCTCCTCTGCATTCTGTGTATCTGTGTTGATTTTATACCGCACTGCCACCACTTTGAGCTCCAGTGTGGGTCTTCAGGTTCACCTCGTCTCTAATGCGACTCTCTTCTACAGGGAAACAAGACGGCACTTTGGAGAACAATCAAAACAAAGGTAAACGTCTTCATCTCAGAGCAGAGTCAGTCAGTTCAGTCTGGATTGTGGTTTATTAGCATGGTTTGTAAGGTGTGACTGTTAAAAGTTTGGTGACACCCTGATGGGGTGGGCAACATGACGATATCAAATCACATCAAATCAAATCACATTCATTATCACAGCACTTTTACACAGGTGTGAAGGTGAGTGGAAATCTGTGAAGCCCCCCTTGTAGAACTTAAATACAGAAATATATAAAATCTATATAAAAATTATATATACACATTAGATTCTAAATATACGCATTAAAATACACCAATATTGCACCATTTCCAATGAACAGTTTTTGTTTCTGTAATACAGGTTATAAAATAAAAGCTGTGATATGTACAGTTGTACACGCGTTTCTGAAATGTGTGTATATATATATGTGTATATATATATATATATGTATGTATATATATATATATTAGGGGTTGGAATCTCTAGGCACCTCACGATTTGATTACGATTCAGAGGCTGCGATGCGATTATAAAACGATTATCGATGCATCTTTTTTCTCTATACATGATTTCTATCTTCCTACTGTCTGAGGACTTGGTAGTTTTAAAGCAAAGTATTTGTAATGATCCATAATGTAAATGCATTATGGATCATTACAAATACTTTGCTTTAATTATCTAAAATATCTTTTATTAATAAATCAAATGGAAGTGATGTGGCAACTAGAAGGCTCTCATTCAGAGACGCTGCTGCCGCTCATCTGCGATAAAATGCGCTGTTGCCCTGTTGCCCTGAAGTAAGATCCAGTGGTGATGGGTGTCCACGCAGCGCGTTACAGCCGTCCTTCCCGTTTTCTTTAGTGATCTTATAACTTCGGTTTTGGTCTCGGTGTACAGAGTTGGGGGGGGACTGGACGCTGAATCTCGGTTCCAAAGTGTGCAGCACAGCGCGAAAGCCCTGGTTCTCAACGACTGAGAACAGACAGCAGACAGCAGGTTACACAGCCCCGAGGTCTGGCCTCGCCAGTAGCGAACGAAAAAACAGATTAAGACGAACATTTGGAGACTTATTCGCATTTATAAGCAGCGCGGTTGGTTAAATCTGCAACAAGAGTTAAAAAAAGTTGCGAAAATGAAGTCGCTTCTCTTTCGAATTCTCCCGTTCCACCTTAAATGGTGCAGCAGTTACATTCGGCGCCTAAGGCAGAATTTAAGGTGAAACGGGAAAATTAGAACGAGAAGCTGGCGAATGAGAAGCGACTTCAGCCTCGTAAAACAGCCGAACGCTGAGACATTTTACAAGAAACTCTTCTAGTTTTGAAGAAAAGTTTTCTGGCGGAGATGGGAGGAAAGCGGCTAAAGCTGAAGCTTAAAGCAGAGCGGAGTAAATCTGCGCTCTCGTTTATATTTTTAGCCCATACTACGACATTAACACACACTGAGACATACTGGACATTAAATGTTGAGGTTCCCAAGCTGGTTTGATTTTTGTTGAAAGGTCAAAACGGCTCTTATCATTTGTGTTGTGACTCCTGACCTAACCTGGCTTTAATGCAGAGGGAGACGGTCGGATTTCTCACTCATCCAGTAGTGTTTTTGTTATGTGCCGCCACAGACTGTCCGGGCGCTGCACTTACCCACTTCCAGTTCCGCCTTTTGCGTTCCGTCAACATCACGTTATAAATTAAATATTTAGAAAATCGATTTTTGACATTTGTGAATCGATTCAGAATCGTTCACGTCCGCTTCGCGATGCATCTAAGAATCTAAGTTTTTCCCGCACCCCTAATATATATAAATATATCTTACTGTGTCAAACTAATTTCTTATTTTCTAAGATATTGTCAGTATTTAAACACTGTTAAAAATGAGAGGTCAGCTTAACTCAAAATGATGTAGTAACTGATTTCATGGCTTTTCTTGAGTCAACTTGAGGACACGAGTTCTGCATCTCAGTTCGGTAAATCAAATGAACCTGTTTTTTATACTCAGATTCCCCACCAGCCAGGACTCTCTCCATCCCACAATCCTGCTGGACATTTTTCCTCTTGGGTACACACTTACAAATGGCTGTGGCATCACTGGGGCTCAAACTCACAACCGCCTGTTGGGGTGACGGCTTAGTCCACTGCGCCACTCACTGCGCAGTACACTGGAGAAAACATTTGCTGTTTTAACTTTAAAGCCTGGCGTCGTCTCATGTGGTTCAGCTGTCTAATAATTCATCCCAGCATCAGGAGGTTGTGAGTTTGAATCCCAGCAATACCACAGCTGTGCATATCTGGAAGCCTAAGAGGAAAATATGCCAGATGGGACTGTGTGATAGAAGGAGCGCCAGCTAGTGGGGAAACTGAGCAAATAATGTAAATTCAGTTTTGTTTATCTAACTGAGATGCGGCGCTAGAAACAGTAGCTGGGAGAGTTTTTGACTCAATTTAGAATTTTGAGTTGTGAACTCAAGTTGGTGTCCTCAAGTTGAGTCAACAAAAACCATGTAATACAATTACAGAACACTGAAGAACTTTGTTTCATTACAGAGTGAGCATAATTAGGCCTGTTTAACTGGATTAGGTGCAGTTTGTAAAACACTGAATAAAAATCATTTTTATTATTATGAATTATTACTATTACTGTAGTGTTGTTGTCTGGGGCACTGCTGTTTCTATTCTGTCTGTTCTGACATATTAAATATCAGAGAAACTAAATATCCTGATGCATATCATGTGAAAATGTCTTGAAGTATTGTGATATAATATTTTTGCCATATCGCCCACCCTATACCCTGAAATGTTTACTTTTCAGTGTTACTTTCTCTGTTTCTAGCAGCAATATGTCAAAATTCACATTTTATATCTTGAAAGAATGAATTTCTTTCTCAAAATATTGACTTATTATGTCAAAATGGTGACTTATTTTCTGAATTTTTGACTTACTATGTCAAAATAATGACTTATTTTCTAAAATACTGACTTATCATGTTGAAATAATGACATATTTTCTCAAAATATTGACATACTATGTCAAAGTAAGGACTTGGTATGTCAATAACAACCTGATATCTTGCAATGATTTATTATTCCAAAATAATTACTTTTTTATTTAATAACTTATTTTAACATAGTATCTCAAAATCTATACAAAAATAAGTTATTTTCAGATACCTAGCCAATATTTAGAGACAATAAGTAATTATTTAGAGTTATTAAGTCTATATTTCAAGAAAATAAGGGATTATTTACAGATACTAATCAATAATTTGAAGAAATCAGTCATCTGGGGAGAGTAAGTCAGTGTTTTGAGAAAATAAGTAATTATTTGTAAATACTATATCAATATTTTGACATTATTTTGCCAAAATCAGAGACTGAGAAACAAACAAACAAGAGAAACAAAGGAGAAGCATTTTTTCCTCCTCTACCTGGTGGGAAAGGTTAGCTGTCCCCAGCAGTCTGACAGGCAGTGAGATTGTGCGGTTGTGCTGTCTAATCCAGCTGCTCCAACAACTTTGTGACTTTGCCCACCTCAGCGAAGAAGCAGGACGAGGCGGTTGCCATGGAGATGCAGCCTTTGAAGAGTGCGGAGGGAGGAGAGGTGGAGGAGAGAGAGAAGAAGAAAGCCAGCGTGCCCAAAAAGGAGAAATCAGTGCTTCAGGGTAAACTCACCAAGCTGGCCGTGCAGATCGGGAAAGCAGGTGAGCTTCTGTGCATGAATTAGAGTGAAGAAACACATTTAAATGAAAAAGTCCACCTCCTCATATCTCCACTCACTGTCCACTTTATCAGCTCCACTGACCATATAGTCTCACTGTGTAGTTCTACAGACTGTAGTCCATCTGTTCTCTGCATACTTTGTTACCCTGTTCTTCAGTGGTCAGGACCCCCATGGACCCTCACAGAGCAGGTACTATTTGGGTGGTGGATCATTCTCAGCACTGCAGTAACACTGACGTGGTGGTGGTGTGTTAGTGTGTGTTGTGCTGGTCTGAGTGGATCAGACACAGCAGTGCTGCTGGAGTTTTTAAACACCTCAGTGTCGCTGCTGGACTGAGAATAGTCCACCAACCAAAAACATCCAGCCAACAGCGTCCTGTGGGCAGCGTCCTGTGACCACTGATGAAGGACTAGAGGATGACCAACACAAACTGTGCAGCAGCAGATGAGCTATCGTCTCTGACTTTACATCTACAAGGTGGATCAACAACGCAGATGCGTCTAATAGAGTGGACAGTGAGTGGACACAGTGTTTAAAAATTGCAGCAGCACTGCTGTGTCTGATCCACTCGTACCAGTGCAACACACACTAACAGATCACCACGTCAGTGTTACTGCAGTGCTGAGAATGATCCACCACCCAAATAGTACCTGCTCTGTGAGGGTCCATGGGGGTCCTGACCACTGAAGAACAGGGTAACAAAGTATGCAGAGAAACAGATGGACTACAGTCTGTTACTGTAGAACTACAGAGTGCTCCTATGTGGTCAGTGGAGCTGATAAAGTGGACAGTGAGTGTAGAAACAAGGAGGTGGTTTTAATGAAGAGGCTGATCAGTGTATTTTGTTATGAAATCTTCTCCTGCCTGTGATTAGATTATCAGATAGCACATGGTTGCTGACCACTTTATCGACATGTTTGCTGTTGCTGTTTCATGAAATTTGACCAGTGATGCTCAAACGTTTGCATTTTTGGAGGGATATTTATATTGAATATAGTTCAAGAATTTTATTTTGGCCAAAGCGCATACTTATAATTGATCAGAATATAAATTAATAAATAAATAAAATACAGAATAGATGATGACTTTACTTCCCCTTTAATTGCCCCCCCGCAGGGTTGGTGATGTCATCGATCACTGTGATTATCCTGATGCTCTACTTTGCGATCGAAACGTTCGTCGTTCAGGATCGTCCGTGGCTCACTGAGTGCACCCCCATATACGTGCAGTACTTCGTCAAGTTCTTCATCATCGGCGTGACGGTGCTGGTGGTGGCCGTGCCGGAGGGTCTGCCGCTGGCCGTCACCATTTCACTGGCCTATTCGGTAAAGGTGAGTCAGCATTTCTAACCTCATTATCCAGAAAAGGTGAGTCAGCATTTCTAACCAGATTATCCAGAAAAGGTGAGTCAGGATTTCTAACCAGATTATTTAGTAAAAGTGAGTCAGCATTTATAACCAGATTATGTAATAAAAATTGAGTCATCATATATAATGAGATATAAAAGTGAGTCAGTATTTGAGATGAGATTACTTAGAACCAGATTATCCAGAAAAGGTGTTTCAGCATTGATAACCAGATTATTTAGTAAAGGTGAGTCAGCATTTCTAACCAGATTATCCAGTAAAAGTGAGTCAGTATTTATAATCAGATTATTTAGTAAAGGTGAGTCAGCATTTATAACCAGATTATTTAGTAAAGGTGAGTCAGTATTTATAACCAGATTATTTAGTAAAAGTGAGTCAGTATTTATAACCAGATTATTTAGTAAAGGTGAGTCAGCATTTGTAACCAGATTATGTAATAAAAGGTAAGTCATCTTATATAATGATAAAAGTGAGTCAGTATTTGTGATGAGAATATTTATAACCAGATTTTCCAAAGAAAATGTTTTCAGCATTGATAACCAGATTATCCATTAATAGTGAGTCAGTATTTATAACCAGATTACCCAGTAAAAGTGAGTCAGCATTTATAACCAGATTACCCAGTAAAAGTGAGTCAGCATTTATAACCAGATTATTAGTAAAGGTGAGTCAGCATTTATAACCAGATTATTAGTAAAGGTGAGTCAGCATTTATAACCAGATTATTTAGTAAAGGTGAGTCAGCATTTATAACCAGATTATTTAGTAAAGGTGAGTCAGCATTTATAACCAGATTATTTAGTAAAGGTGAGTCAACAATGGTAAGTCTAACAGCATTATGAAGTAAAGATGAGTCATCATATCTAAGATTGTAAAGATGAGTCATCATATCTAAGATTGTAAAGTAAAGGTGAGTCAGCATATCTAACAAAATTATGTAGTAAAGGTCAGTTATGATATCTAACAGGATTATCCAGTAAAGGTGACTCAGTGGTTGTAATAACATTAAGCTAAATGTGAGTTAGCATAATGTACATTAATGTAATGATGTTTTGTAATATCAATTAGTCCACTGATCATGAAATGTTCACACAGTAAAAACTGCCGCTATAGAATGGCAACATAAATGGAGTTGCTGTGTTTTACTATGGCTGTAATGATGAATAACCATAAACAGATACTATGAGGCTATTAACCCTCTGATCTCTGAGGTCATTCTCTCTCGGTCTGTTCATCTCTTCTTAAATCCTCCTTTAAAGGCTCTTCATATAACATGATCCTCATCTGTTTCATATCAAAATGCTCCGTTATCTTCATCACTACTTTCCAAACCCGCTGCAGCAGCTTCAGCAGCTGTAAACTCTCTGCACGCCGTTTCACATGAGTCTCCGATGTGGACTGAATGAAGGGTTTCCAGCGTGATGGTCAGTCCTTAGTGATTTCCTGAGTGTCCATTGGTCAGTTTCACACAGAATTTAGACGGACACACAAATCCACCAGTTCCACGTGGTGAGAGGCGGATGACGTGTATCTCAGCCCCTCTTCATAGGCTCATAACTCTGGACTCTCACCTCAGAGACTTAAGTCTTGACACAGACTCTCACTCCAGAGTCAACTCAGACTCAAACTTCAACAACTTGAGACTCAACTCAGATTCTCATCTTAGAGAATAAACTCAGACACCTCAGAGACTCAAGATTCGACTTGAACTCAAGCCTCTGAGACTTGAGACTTGACTCAGACTCGTACTCTCCCGCCTTGGACTTTCACCTCAGAGACTCGAGACTTGACTCAGACTTTTGACCTCATAGACTCGAGACTCGACTCGGACTTGAATCTCAGAGACTCAAGAGTCGACTCAGACGTACACCTCAGTTTCACACAGAATGTAGACGGACACACGAGTCCACCAGCTCCACACGGTGAGAGGCAGATGACGTGTATCACAGCCCCTCTTCATAGGCTCATAACTCCGGATGTGAGTCTCGTATGATCTCGTGATAAGATGGACTGGAAAAGGCGACTCTACAGATTCAGGAACTGTTTGAACTGGATTTCTGTGCTGGATCATCACAAAGACACAGACACAGATATAGAGACAGAGAATTTGACCTACGGGCGAGTTTGTGGACCCCAGAGAGTTAGCTTTCTTTATTCCACTCTTTGATCTTTCTGTTCTTCCCTTTCCCGGTTCAGTCACATTTCCCCGTAAATTTCCACAGAAAATGATGAAGGACAATAACCTGGTGCGACACCTGGATGCGTGCGAGACGATGGGGAACGCCACAGCGATCTGCTCGGACAAAACCGGGACGTTAACCACTAACCGGATGACGGCCGTGCAGATTTACATAGGAGATCAGCATTTCCACGAGATCCCGACACCACAGCACATCAGCCATCACACGCTGGAGCTGCTGACCACCGCCATCTCCCTCAACAGCGCATACACCTCCAAAATCCTGGTGAGGAGTCAAAGGGGGGTCCACACCACATTTTACAAGCTCGTCATTGTTTTTTGGGGGGCTCATGTGGTATTTTTGCAATGCTGACTATAGTTGCGTATCTAGCTGGCTGTCATTTCGAAATGTAGAGGCAGAGCTGGGCAATATGATTATATATATCATTATCATGATAAAGTATGTCACAATACAATACAATATGCTTTTCTGAACATATCCTGAATATCGTCAGCACTTGTAGAAACTGATCAACTGCATGTTTGATTATAAAGAGAGCAAAATTTGTCCCATTTAACTGGATTTAGTGGCAAATACTGCAAAAAAATGGTCTCTTGTCGAGTGAAATGATCTTAAATCTTGTCAATGTATCTAATATTTCCCATTTTTAGAAGGTTGTGCACTTATTATCAGATTATCTAGCTTTATCTGGATTATCTGGATTTTATTCAGTAAAATTATCTCACTATGCTGGCAGATAATTTTGCTGGTTTCAAGCTCATTTCTTACAACAAGCACAATTATCTGCCAACATAGTGAGATAATTTTACTCAATAAAATGACTTAAAACAAGTAAACATGTTTAGAAATAAATTAAATAATCTTAACAGGAGAAATATTAGATTTTCTGACTACATTTCAGATATTTTCACTCGAAAAGACACCATATTTTGCAGTGAAATACTGAATAAAAATCATTGTATTTAAAATTTTTTATAGTATTTTGTAAAATGTAGCTCTACTGGTTCTTTTTTCTCTGATCAGATGTCTGAACAAAATAAGTATCGTGACATATCGTGCATCGTGAAAATTTCCTAAAGTATCGCGATATTAGATGTTTGCCGTATCGCCCAGCTCTATGTACAGACAGAAAGTTCTGGCACCCACACTGTTAGACAGCGGTTTATTACAGTGCAGAAAATGGCATCTTGTCCGTGAGGCTATCTTAAATCTGGTTGTCTAACGTTTCTCATTTTGAGATTGTTGAAGGACTTTTACAAGATCATGTAACTCATTTTTAGACATTTTACGTATTTTTAGTGATTTTGACAGAGCCCATTTGGTTACATACGGTATAAATAAAAACAATGCGTAGCCACGACTTAATAAGACATGGGAACAAGATAAATAAGTTGTGGTTATGACTTAGTAAGGCATGGGAATTTTATTTATATAGCACCAATTAATGTGGTGCCAACAGCCCATCCATATCATCCCACCTTAACAAATCCACACAGTTTGAGGAGAGTGTGTGAGGATTCAGCAGGGCAGTCAGCACCATGCTAATCTGTGGAGTATAAGCATCCATTGCTTGTTAGCTGCATTAGCCTTGTAGCTCCAGAGCTAAATCTAAAGAAGCAGACTTCAAACTCCAAACGCGTCTCGGCTGATCAGCTGCTTTTGGGGTAAAGAAGGTGAAAGTGAAATATCTCGTGTATAACGATAGCAGCAGGACTGCTAACTTCAAATTCAAAGAAGCTTTATTAGCGACTGTCTCACTACAGTGTTGCCAAAACATATAAACCTCAAAGACGAGCGACGCTGTAGAGCTAAAATATAGAATTATGGATAGTAATGATGATAACAGTCAAAGGGAAATAACAGTGATAATAAAAGAACATAAATAAATTAAATGGATAAATTGAAGCAACATGTATTAAATAATAAAAATGATAATAGATAATATACATCCAACTTATATACAGCGGTTTGGTAGCAAGTCATTCACTAAAAGCATTTTGTTTCTCTCTCTCTCTCTCTCTCTCTCTCTCTCTCTCTCTATCTCTCTTACTCACTGTCTCTCTCTCTCTCTCTCTCTTTCTCTCTCCCTCTATCTTCCTTTCTGACTCTCCTCTCTCTCTTTCTCTCTCTTGCTCTCTCTGCTTTCTTTCTCTCTCTCTCCCTCTCTCTGACTCCCTTGCTCTTTTTTCCCTCCTTCTCTTCCTCTTTCTCTTTACTCTCTCTTTCCCTCCCTCTCTCTCTCTCTTCTCTGACTTTCTCCCTCTCCCCTCTCCATCTCTCTCTCTCTGAATCTCTCACTATCTGCTTTTTCTCCCCCATCCCTCTTTCTCTCCTCTCCCTCCCCCTTTCCCTCTCACTCTCTCTCTCTCTCTTTCTCTGTCTTTCTTCCATTCCCTCTTTCTTTACTCTCTCTCCCCTCCTTCCCTTTCTCTCCCTCCCTCTCTCTCTCCTCTCTGACTCTCTCCCCCTCTCTTTCTCCCTTCTCTATCTCTCTGTCCCTCTCTCCCCCCCTCTCTCCTCTCTTTCTCTCTCTCCCTCTCTTTCTCTCTCACTCTCTCTAACCCCTCTCTCTCTCTCTCTCTCTCTCTCTCTCTCTCTCTCTCTCTCTCTCTCTCCTCTCTCTCTCCCTCTCTCTCCCCCCTCTCTCTCTGTCTGTAGGCGGCTGATAAAGAGGGTGGTCTGCCGAAGCAGGTGGGGAATAAGACAGAGTGCGCTCTGCTGGGTTTGGTTCTGGATCTGAAGCGTGATTATCAGTGCGTCAGAGAGCAGATTCCAGAGGAGAAGCTCTACAAGGTCTACACCTTTAACTCCGTCCGCAAGTCCATGAGCACCGTCATCCAGCTGCCTGACAGGAGCTTCCGCATCTACAGCAAAGGAGCCTCAGAGATCCTGCTCAAAAAGTGTGTGGGTTTGTGATCATGTGCACATTTAGCACTGGACAAATGTGGACATTGACCATTAGAGGCCACTGATGACAACAAAAAGCCATTATCAGAAGTTTTATTGATCATGTGCATTTCAGTCCATTTTTAAGGAATTGTTTGAAAAATAATTAAATGTTACCCCCAGAAACTGTACTATCTCTAACCTGTACTGTACTATCTCTAACCTGTACTGTACTATCTCTAACCCGTACTGTACTAACTTTAATCCTTACTGTACTAACTCTAATTCTTACTGTACTACCCTTAACCCTTACTGTACTAACTTGAGACCTTACTGTACTATCCTTAACCCTTACTGTACTAACTCGAGATCTTACTGTACTACCCTTAACCCTTACTGTACTAACTCTAACCCTTACTGTACTACCCTTAACCCTTACTGTACTAACTCGAGATCTTACTGTACTATCCTTAACCCATACGGTACTATCCTTAACCTGTACGGTACTAACTCTAAACCTTACTCTGCTGTCCTTAACCCTTACTCTACTAACTCAAAACCCTACTGTACTATCCCTAACCCTTACTGTACTATCTTTAACCCTTACTGTACTAACTCGAAACCTTGCTGTACTATCCTTAACCCTTACTGTACTATCTTTAACCCTTACTGAACTACCCTTAACCCTTACTGTATTAGCTGTAACCCTTAGTGTACTATCTCTAACACTTACTGTATTATCTTTAACCTTTAATGTGCTAACTCTAAACCTTACCGTACTATCTTTAACCCTTACTGTACTAACTCGAAACCTTACTGTACTATCCCTAACCCTTACTGTACTAACTCTTACTGTGTTAACCTTAACCCTTTCTGTACTAATGCTAACTAATGCTTACTAACTCCGACATTCTCTGTACTAGCCCTAACACTCACTGTACTAAGCTTAGTTCTTAGTCTACTATCCCTTACCTCTTTGTGCAACAACATTCACCCTTGCTGTACTAATCCTAACCCTTAGTGTGCTAAACCTAACCCATACTGAACTTTGACCCTTACTATAGTAACCCTCACCCTTATTAAGTTGAGTTTAAACCTGTCCTAAACTGAAGGTTGTTATGTTTTTGTCCCTTTGCTGCAGATGTTCATCCATCCTGTCCCGGGATGGCGCGGCGCGCTCCTTCAGGCCGCGGGACCGGGACGAGATGGTGAAGAAGGTGATTGAACCGATGGCCTGCGATGGCCTCCGGACGATCTGCGTGGCCTACAGGGACCTACCTGGAGATCCTCTGCCAGAGTGGGACAACGAGGCCGACATCATCAATAATCTCACCTGCATCGCTGTGGTGGGCATCGAGGACCCCGTCCGGCCAGAGGTCAGCACTGAAATACTGATATCTGCTCATGAACACAGTTTGCAGTAGCATTGATTATAACGACAGATGAAGTAGCTCTCTAAAGATGTTGGGCTACTCAGTATCATTATTTAATATCTGAGTTTTATTAAAGATTTTCATTAAAACAGTTAATATTCTAAAAAGCATATAGACTAAAATAAAATTTGCTGCTGCAGACCGTGTGTATTTCTTGGGGTGGTGGGGGGTGGGGGCGCATATTATTGATAATCACGATTTTTTAACTAAAAATATAAGGCTAACTATTTATTATTACTTAATGTGTCTACCTTTATGTGTGTCACTATGATGTAAATGTCATTAGTGTACGAAGCGGTTTATACAGGCAGTTAGCCCCATGCTAATCAGTGGGGTATTGCTTCCGTTATTTGTTAGCAACATTAGGCTTGTAGCTTAAGTGCTAAATAATGCCTGCGGTGATAAAATGATACAAAATATAGCTGATCATAGTAAAATATTAGAATGTCTACTGATTTTTGCTGCAATTAACAAAAACACTGTTCAGATTAAAGAATATTGTAGGTATAGTAAGTTTATACATTTACTGTATACAGATTTTTAATAAACAGTGTATATTATATGTATACATCTCTCTCTCTGTCTATGTATATATATATATATATATATATATAAATAGCACTCAGGCTAATTGGACTTGCAAACTGTTTTACAGTTAATTTATACACAATATGGCCAAAAGTTTGTGGACACCCAGTGTTTCATCCAAAATTAAGAGTATTAAAAAGGGAGTTTGTCCCCCTTTGCTGCAGTAATAGCAGGCTCTTCTCTTTTTGGGAAGGCTTTACACTAGATGTTCGAACATTGCTGTGAGGATTTGATTGAGCATTAGTGAGGTCATTGGATATGTTAAATTGCCCCTTGGTATGAGTGTGCGTGTGAATGTATATGTCTGTCTGTCTGCCCTGCGATGGACTGGCAATCTGTCCAGGGTGTTTCTTGCCTTCCGCCCAGTGACTGCTGGGATAGGCTCCAGCTCCCCCCATGACCCAGAAGGATAAGTGGCTTAGAAAGTGTGTCTGTGTGTGTGTGTGTGTAAATGTGGGCTTTGCAAAAGATATGGCACATTTTATAAATTTATATTTTTTCTCAACGTATAAGTAGAAACTGCGCACTAAATTTAGCAGGAAAATCATATTGAGTTGTGTTCCCTGTAGAGGATGTATTCGCTTATTTTCACGTAATTGTACTGTATTTGTTCAGACTTTTGCATAAGACTGTAAATACTGACGCTGCAGAGTTGTGTAAGAAAGTGACCTCTACAAGACGCCTTCCTAAACCACAGCGTCCTCTCTGACCAGCAATCTCAGGTCTCTCGGCCTCATTCCTTACATTCCTGCATGTGTTTGATCGGTAATGTCTGTCACATGAATCAGGGCGACTCGCTGACGAATGAAAAGAGAACAGAAATCATGTGACTCGTGATTTAAAGTTAAAGTTTAAGAGCCGTCACGCGCCGGAGGCCCGCTGGAATGTTCCTGCTGAGCCTCTCCCAAGAGCTTCTGACTGGCCAGTGAGTAATGAGGCTCGTCTCTCTCCGCCCAATCAGGTTCCAGAAGCCATCAGGAAGTGCCAGCGCGCGGGCATCACGGTGCGCATGGTGACGGGCGACAACATCAACACGGCTCGCGCCATCGCCGCCAAGTGTGGCATCATCCACGCCGGGGACGACTTCCTGTGCATGGAGGGGAAGGACTTCAACCGGCGAATCAGGAACGAGAAAGGAGAGGTGGGCTTTTTTATATCATCATTGTGTTTTATTATTTCTATTGTGTTTCATTTTTTACTTCAAAGGAAAATGAGCCGCAGTCCAAAAATATGAAAGCAAACAGAGATTTTTGAAATTTCAAAGTGTTTTACAGTTAATTCCTACACAATATGGCCAAAAGTTTGTGGACACTCATTGCTGCAAGGATTTGATTGAGCATTAGTGAGGTCAGGTACTGATGTTTGATGGGCAGTTCTGGGTCACTCCAACTCATCCCAAAGGTATTGGATGGAGCCCCAGCACTCCAGAGAACACAGTTCCACTGCTCTACAGCCCAATGCTGGGGGGCTTTATACCCCTCTAGACCACCCCTGGCACCACCAGTCACACCCCCCTTAATGAGATTGTTTATGTAAATAGTTTTACTTTTTTTCTCTTTTAGTGCAGTTATTGTCATTCAAACAGTGCTGCCAGCATTATTATTATTATTATTATTATTATTATTATTATTACTAGCCAATACAAGCATTAATAACTTTAGACAAATATTTCTTTAACTCATTAAAGCTACACAGCAAAAAATGGTCTCTTGTCAAGTGAAATGATCTTAAATCTAGTCGATATATCGAACAGAAAGTCAAATTTTTTGACCAAACAAAACATTAAACAGGTCTACAGCCAAGTGTCAGAGTTTAGCACTTATCAAATCACTCTTATGATGATGAATATGAGAAACAGTGATTACAATCGCTGTGGACTATAGTGGGCTATCCAAATAAGGTGGGGCTGATTTTCTTAGTTGTGTCAAAGTTGTGTAGTCGTGGGCTGGAGGTTAGGGAACCAGCCCTGTGACTGGAAGGTCGCCGGTTCAATCTCCTGAGCTGACAGTACATGACTGAAGTGCCTTTGAGCACCTAACCCCCCCCCACTGCTCCCTGGGCGTCGTGGACAGGGCTGCCCACTGCTCTGGGCAAGAGTGCTTACTGCCCCCTAGTGTGTATGTGGTGTCTCAGTGCATGGATGGGTTAAATGTGGAGGTGAAATTTCCCTGTTGTGGGACTAATAAGTGTCATTTAATCTTGCAGTTTTTATGTTTATGTTTATTCAGAAGCACAAATAAAACAGTAAATGTAGAAATAATAATTAAAAAATAATTATTCCATTCTTTCATTTTTCATCTGGATGTGCCTTGGATTTCGGTTTCAGTTTCAGTTTTGGCTGAGAATTTCCATTTCACTGCACCTCTGGCTAAATGTCTGTTCCTCGCAGGTTGAGCAGGAGCGGATCGATAAAATCTGGCCCAAACTGCGAGTGCTGGCGCGATCGTCTCCTACAGACAAACACACGCTGGTCAAAGGTAAACACTCACACTCGCATCCTTCACCTACAGGTTTAGCAGAAGCTGAGACTGAGGGAGCCCAACATTCAGAGCTTTATCTCCACATACTTAACAGACGCTTTAATCCACAGTGGTTTGTGATGATGGGTTAAGTGAACATTAAGGTCTTGTTCAGACTGACAGCCCACATGTGATTTCTGGCAAATCCAGATTGTGTCCAGAATGTCTGGACAGCATCAAATCTGATTTTTGCAAATCAGATCTAAACTGCACTGCAAAAAATGGTGTCTTGTCACGTAAAATGATCTTAGATCTAGTCAGTATATGTAATATTTCTCCTGTTCAGATTGTTGTAAGCTTATTTTAAGATTATTTAACATATTTCCAAATATTTTTTACTTGTTTTAAGAAATTGAATCAAGTAAAATTATCTCATTATGTTGCCAGATAATTGTGCTTGTTGTAAGAAATGAGCTTAAACCAGCAAAATTGTCTGCCAGCATAGTAATTTTACTTAATAAAATGACCTAAAACAAGTAAAAAGTGTCTAGAAATAAACTAGATAATCTTATGATAAGAGCACAACCATCTAAAAATAAGAAATATTAGAAATATCAACTAGAATTAAGATAATTTTACTTGACAAGATACTATTTTTTGCAGTGCACGTTTTGAGGTGGTTTGAAATGCGATTTGATGGTTTCAAATCCAGAACTCCAAAGATTCATGATTATGAAGAAATCTCTAAAGAAGGCGAGATGATGCTCCTCCATCTCTGCTGCATCCGCATTCGATATCCACATCATCAGCGTAGCTACGCAGTGACCAGTGTCTATGTCGTTACCACGGCGACCCCTGGACACACAAATCTGATCTGATCACAGATCATAACAGAGCGGACAGTCGCCTCAAAAGATCTGATCTGAGAAAGAAATCCGATTTGCCTGCAGTCAGAATACAGTGCCCAAGCACTCACGACACTGGATCTCACCAGAAAGCAACAGCGCCGTCTTGTGGACTAAGAAAGCAGTGCAGTTTGGAATCCTGTTAGAATGAGTCGAACCCTCAGAGCGCTCTGCGTCTGACTCAAAAATGTTGGTTCCCTGGAAAATTAGATATTAAATCTTTTCTCTGGGCAGTGAGTGTTTTGCTCTGAAACACACCAATATTGGAATAAATACAAAGAACATTAATATAATAAGTAGTGATTTTATGGCTCAGTGTGTTTCTTTAACCTTCTCCTCGAGGAAGCCCAGTATTATTTGTAGTTATCATATTCAATACCTGCTTTATCAAATCATTATGTTCATTATCACCTTCATTATGTTAAATCAGGTTGAATTGAATTAATCCATGTGACGTCTGGAGGCGTCCAGAAGAAATCTGGAACCAAAATTTCATACTAGCTTAGAAGATATCAGTTACTTTATTTCAAAATAACTAATTCTTGTTATTTTTACTGTATTTAAGTTCATTTGCATTTATTCTAATCACTATATGATGTTTTTACAAGCAAAAACAAAGTTATTGATAAAGATAAATGGTATTAAATAACATGGTCCGGTGCCCAAGTCTTCTGCACAGTGCTAATGTCTGTAAAACGCTGTTAAAGCTACGCATAAACATACTGACTGTGTTTAGTTGTGTTTTCACTGCATGTACATTAAGATGAGTGTGTGTGTGTGTGTGTGTGTGTGTGTGTGTGTGTGTGTGTGTGTGTTCAGGGATCATAGACAGCACCATATGTGAGCAGAGGCAGGTGGTTGCGGTGACCGGGGACGGCACTAATGATGGTCCCTGCGCTGAAGAAAGCTGACGTGGGATTCGCCATGGTGAGGACCACCTCACACTGCTGCTCAGGCTTACTGCTCCGCTTTAAAGGGCCGTATCATAGAAACACAAAATTCTCCCACTAGCTCTGACATAAAGGAGTTAAAAACAATACATAAACAGGGTTAATGATGCAAAACAAATGTTCACTTCCCAGTCCATGCGGTCCATATCTGGAAGCTATGACACCCTGGTCAAATTGCATGTTTGGTTGATTTCTAAGTGGAAATAAGTTAACCCCCCCATGCCCCCCCCAGAGAATACACTTCAATAATGGCATTTTCCTGCAGATTTTAGTGTACAATTTCTATTTATATGCTAAAAAAGGGAAAAAATGTAACCATAACCATAATTAACCAATGTTTTTATGTATTTTATGTATTTTTCTGTGTTTTATGTTTTATTTCTACCCCAATATGTCAAATTGGGTAAATAAACAGTAATTTTGTATAAAAACGTTCAGAAGTGTGAGGATTTGTGTTAGTGTGAGGACTTATTTTCACTTAGAAAATCAACAACAGCATGGAATTTGACCAGGAGCACCAAAACTTGTAAAAACAGCAGGTTTTAATTCACAGTTTTTGTGATGTCACAAGAACCAACTAATTTATGCAGGTCCACCTATTCAGTCCACAGCCTTGTCAGGTCATGATGAATTTAGAAGGTGTGTTTCAGCTCTGGATGCTTTTCAAATGAGGCACAATACAGGACAGCCTGTCAGAACAGAGCTCATTTGCATAACGTCAGTCTTAAAGGCACTGCTTGTTTAATTATAAGGGAGGTTAAATAATAAAGACAGGTTGGAAACAATGTTGAAATGAATTATGTTATTTTTTGGTACATAAGGTTCACATGTTATAAGTGAGTAAAATGTAGGAGGATATGGCTCTTTATTCCCAAATTCCCAGATTCCCCTGTTCTGATTTACAGTGTGTGTGTAATATCAGGGCTGCAGATTGGAGGGAGGCAACATTGAGAGGCTGTAACCTACATACAGCACCACCACACAGAAGTTGCAGATTACGTGCACAGCACTGCATAAACAAAGTACGAGTAGCTTTAATGCCACCATTAAAACACAGAAACAAATGATATTATTTTTTTATGATCAACTTTTTATTGCATTTTTCTTTGTGTGGGGAAAGAAAAAGCGGTGGTAAGGGGGAGTGGAAGGCAGGACGATGACATACATTTTTAGGAATACACACAAATCAAAAACAAAGACAATACATAAACAACTACACAACTGAACAACATTACAAGTTTCAAGTTTATTTGTCATTTGCACAACATGTCAGGACATTTATGCGTTGAAATGCTTGTGGTGAGGCTCGGACAAACACTCTACAGAAAGTAAATAAGTAAAAATAAAATTACAAGAAAAACAAACTGATATATATATTAAATATACACAAAATATAGAGAACATACAGATAAAAATATACACAAATATAGAGAAATGTACACAAATATACAGGCAATATACATTTTAAAGTGACTAAGTGACTGTTATTGTTCTTAAAGTGGCTTAGTGTTAAGGTGTTATTGTCCATAGCAGAGATGATATGATGTAATAATAATGCTGACAGAGTGACTGAGTGAGATGGTAGTTGGTGAAGGACCCACAGCTTCACAGCTTGTTCAGATGTCTGACAGCCTGTGGGTAGAAACTGTTCATTAGCCGGGTTGTCCTAGCCTGAATGCTACGAAATCTCCTGCCTGATGGCAGGATGGTGAACAGGCCGTGTGCTGGGTGACGCTGTCTGACCGGATCTTTTTGGTCTTCCTGAGGCAGCGAGACTGGTAGACGTCCTGTAAGGCTGGTAGTCTGTTGCCTCTGATGGCTTCTGCCATCCTCACCACTCCTTTAAGGGCCTTGCGGTCACAGGCGGTGCAGCTGCTGTACCAGACAGTGATGCAGCCTGTGAGGATGCTCTCTATGGTGCATCTGTAGAAGTTGGTGAGGATCTGAGGAGGCAGACCAAACTTCCTGAGTCTGCGCAGGAAGAAGAGACGCTGACGGGCAGATCTCACGATAGTGTTAGTGTGGAGGGACCAGGTGAGGTCATCAGTGAGGTGAACACCGAGGAACTTCACACTGCTGACTCTCTCCACTTCGGCTCCATTGATGAACAGGGGAGAGTGACCACCCCTCTGCCGCTTCCTGTAGTCCATGATCATCTCCTTTGTTTTGCTGATGTTGAGACAGAGGTTGCTGTCATGGCTCCACTCTGACAGAGCGCTGACCTCGTCTCTGTAGGCTGTTTTATCTCCATCAGTGATGAGGTCTAGGATGGTGGTGTCATCAGCAAACCTGAAGATGATGTTAGACGTGTGTTTGGCTACACAGTCATGTGTATACAGGGAGTACAGGAGGGGGCTGAGCACACATCCCTGGGGAGCCCCTGTGCTCAGAGTCAGTGTGGAAGAGAAGCCGTTACCAACTTTCACCACCTGAGGTCTGCTCGTCAAGAAGTCCAGTATCCAGTTGCAAACATACTTTAACTGGAAACTAAAGTTCTTGAATAGAGTCGTATAAAGTCTCCCAGTTTCTTATTGTTGACTGTTTTGCCTCGTTAAGCTTTGCTGTAAGAGATTCCATCTGAACTATAATTTGAAAACTAGATATCCAGAATTCCATAGCTGAAAGCTGCGTGGTGAACCAAAATTGGAAGACTTTAGAAGTTTCTTGATAGCTGTAAAACCTGCCATCACCATCCTTCGCTGAATTGAAGAAAGCTAAAGGGTTGAGTCGTCATTTAAAAGACATTACTGTGGTGACAGTGGAATACTGAGATCAAGTGCTTTAGATACTATATCGCTGCTGTCAGCACAAAACTTCGTATCTCCAAAATGGTAACTTTGCAGGAGGTGGAAACAACATACTTTATTTTTAATGTAAATGGAACCAGAGTTTTTTCCAAGTCGTTTTGGGCGGCTTCTTTTGGTCCATTCATCATGAAATTTACACACAATGTAAAGGGTAATTTGGGCATTTCCAAATTATGTAAAAAACTGAAAAATGACAAAAATGCAGATACGAGGTTTTTCTCCGACAGCACCAATATCTACTGTAGAGGCCCATATATCTGCTACGTTAGAACACTCCCGGAACACATGCATAAATGTACCAGACGCAGAGTTTCAAATATGACAGGTATAACTAGAAATACGTTTCATTTGATATCTCCTGTAAGGTGATGCATATGCTCTATGAATTATTTTATAATGGATACTGATATGCCAGATTTTTAGAGGACTGACTTCTTAGCCCATATAGTGTTCCAATCCAAGGAAGGACCAGTACAGGAAAGCTCTCGTTCCCAGAGTTGTTCGACTGCCAACTGCTTTATATAATATTCCCTTTTCCAAAGGAAATCACTGGTACTTTTGTATAATTTCAAACAGTCGTCTCCACCACTCCCCTCTAAAATTTGCATCAATGTGTGGTATCAACCTAAAATGTAATATTTCGTCACAGTTTTTGTCCTAAAACAGTAACTTTACAGGAGAAGGAAAAACATTCCTTAATTTTAATGGACATTAATAGAGAAATTATTTATTCTAAGTAATTTTAGACCATTTCTGTCGGTCCACTCATCACGAAAGTTTGAGACAATGTAAAGCTCAGCTGAGGGTTTCAAATGTCCAAAAAAGAAGAAGCTGTGTCCCAGCAGTGATGATGTGTAACACTGTGTGTGCTGCGCTCAGGGCATCGCCGGCACAGACGTGGCGAAGGAAGCGTCCGACATCATCCTGACGGACGATAACTTCACCAGCATAGTGAAGGCGGTGATGTGGGGCCGTAATGTTTACGACAGCATCTCCAAATTCCTGCAGTTCCAGCTCACTGTTAACGTGGTGGCCGTTATAGTGGCCTTTACTGGCGCCTGCATTACTCAGGTACAGTTTACTCTGCCGGAACATTTCATCATTTTCTCTGCTTCTTTTGGCAGAGCTGTCTGTTATCATACCCCCCCCCCACTCTTCTCGTGTGTGTGTGTGTGTGTGTGTGTAGGACTCTCCTCTGAAGGCGGTGCAGATGTTATGGGTGAATCTCATTATGGACACGTTTGCGTCTCTGGCTCTGGCCACCGAGCCGCCCACTGAAGCTCTGTTGCTGCGAAAACCGTACGGCCGAAATAACCCGCTGATCTCCAGAACCATGATGAAGAACATCCTGGGCCACGGGGTGTACCAGCTCATCATCATCTTCACACTGCTCTTCGTTGGTATGAAGCTCACAGTTAAACGCAAATGAAATGAACATGAAATATGATTTCTTCTTTTTCTGCCAGATACTTCTGAATATCACTAACTAATTTGTTTGCCTCTTTATCTTCACTGTAATAGCAGTCAGGCTGTAATAGCAGTCAGGCTGTAATAGCAGTCAGGCTGTAATAGCATTCAGGCTGTAATAGCAGTCAGGCTGTAATAGCAGTCAGGCTGTAATAGCATTCAGGCTGTAATAGCATTCAGGCTGTAATAGCATTCAGGCTGTAATAGCAGTCAGGCTGTAATAGCAGTCAGGCTGTAATAGCAGTCAGGCTGTAATAGCATTCAGGCTGTAATAGCAGTCAGGCTGTAATAGCAGTCAGGCTGTAATAGCAGTCAGGCTGTAATAGCAGTCAGGCTGTAATAGCATTCAGGCTGTAATAGCAGTCAGGCTGTAATAGTGTGTGTGTTCTTACAAATGTTTGCTTTAGTGTATCAACAGAAGTGGGTAGAATGTAACCATGGGAACGGGTGTAGCATAACCATGGAAATAGGTGTAGTGTCAAAATGGAAGTGGTTGTAGTGTAATCATGGAAATGAGTGTAGCGTAACCATGGAAATTGTTTAGTGTAACCATGGAAACGGGTGTACTGTAATCTTGGCAACGGGTGTAGTGTAGACATGGAAATGGTTTAGTGCAACCATGGAAATGGGTGTAGTGTAATCATAGAAATGAGTGTAGTGTAACCATGGAAATGGGTGTAGTGTAACCATGGAAATGGGTGTAGTGTAACCATGGAAATAGTTGTAGAGTAACCATGGAAATGAGTATAGTGTAACCATGGAAATAGTTGTAGCGTAACCATGGAAATGGGGGTAGCGTAACCGTGGAAACAGGTGTATCCCACTGCTCCATATGTCAGTGGTGTATTTCTACTACAGGTGGATTGCTATCAGTTAGCCTGGGTGTATTAGCAGCCGACTCGAGGGCTGAGTTTAGTCCATTTCTATAGGGAAAATTGTGCTGATGTAGACATGCCGTTTGCGCGAGTATAAGCTTCCAGTACTTGTTGGCCACCTTAGCCTCGTAGCTCCAGTCCTAAAACTACGAGCATCACATCAGAATCATTTTGTTCATTTATCTGCAACAACGTGGGTTTTACATTACTGAATACAGTGATTCTAGACTTTTAAACAGTAGAGCACACGGTGATGCTGATTAATGTAAGACAATTAATCCTCCTGATCTGTGTCTGTCCTCATCAGGTGAGAGGATATTCGATATAGACAGCGGCCGGGACGCTCCCCTGCATGCCCCTCCGTCTGAACACTACACTATCATCTTCAACACCTTCGTCCTCATGCAGCTCTTCAACGAAATAAACGCACGCAAGATCCACGGAGAGAGGAACGTCTTTGACGGGATTTTCTCAAACCCCATCTTCTGCACCATCGTGCTCGGGACATTCGCCATACAGGTACATCTCAGCTCCATTTAGCCTATTTCATATTTTAATTCATGTTTTCTGATGTATATTTAGGGAAAAAGTCAAATCATGCTGTAAAATCAATCATCAGTTTGTCTGCATGAAAGTACAGACAAAATCCAGGCTTCAAGACGGCCGATTCTGTGCTTCTGTATCCTAATGTACTTCAGTCCATGTTTATAGATAACAGTGTATCATACAGTGTCAGAAACCACACAATCAAGTCTCACTGCCCATATGAAAGAAATACGGACATATATTTTAAAATACATATCAAATACACTGCAATCCTTTCCAAACACTAAAATGTATTTCAGAATATTTTGCCATATTAATTAAATATCTTTTAAAATGCATGTATTTTAAAACGTATGGGGAAATATGACACATATAAAAATAAACATATGTAAATGTGTTTATCAGATCCATTTGAAAATGTATGAAAAGTACAGTGCAGATCACAGAAGAACGTTTAGTTACATCTGGAACCTTCATTACACTCAACTGAACACAGATAATAACTAATACTGATAAATGCATTTTAAAATAGATATTTAACAAATACATTTTTTCCATATGGGTAAGACCCTCACGGTTTAAGGTGAGTGTATAATGATTTTGGTGTTCAGCTAGCAAGCATGATGTTAGTTAGCTAATGCTAATAAGCTTACATATTATCTTCCTTAGCCTCGTAGCTCCAGCATCATAATAAGGAAGCAAAGTTCAGACACCAAACATGTCTTGGCTGATTGACTCCATTTGATTTTTTATTAATCTATTGCTTTAACCTTTCTGTGATGATGTATGTGTGTGTTTACAGATAGTGATTGTACAGTTTGGAGGGAAGCCGTTTAGCTGTGCGCCGCTGAACATGGAGCAGTGGCTCTGGTGTCTGTTTGTTGGAGTTGGAGAGCTGCTCTGGGGTCAGGTAATATACCATCTTATATATATATATATATATATATATATATATATATATATATATATATATATATATATATACAGTTTAGCTCCACCCATTCAGCCTACAGCAGTTTAGCCTCACCATTCGGCCTACAGCAGGTCAGCTCCGCCCATTTAGTCTACAGCAGTTCAGCTCCGCCCATTCAGCCTACAGCAGTTTAGCTACACCCATTCAGCCTACTGCAGTTTAGTCCCACCCATTCAGCCTACAGCAGTTTAGCTCCGCCCATTCAGCCATTTGTTTATTTCTCGCTCATATCATCACAGATTATAGCTGAAAATTAGCATAACTTTAATTAAAATTAAATGAAGTAAATAAATAAATCATTTATCATGTTTGTTGATTTTTTTGTGTTTGTCTTTGCGTGTAGCTGATCTCTTCAGTGCCAACCAGCCAGCTGAAGTGTCTGAAGGAGGCAGGGCACGGGCCTGCGCCCGATGACATCATGGATGAAGACTTGGCGGAGGACGAGGAGGAAATCGACCACGCAGAGCGAGAACTGAGACGGGGACAGATCCTGTGGTTCAGAGGACTCAACCGCATCCAAACTCAGGTAAACTCAGGCTTTACTCGTTCTCTCCGTCCGTCTCTAACTCTCCTTCTTTTACACGGTTTCAGTGCAGACTTTAATATTTCCAGCCATATTTTATGATAGATGTATTTACAGTGTTGCTTACCTGTTAAATCTGTGCCTAAGAATTTACCTTAATTTTGCCTGAATCTCAGTTACAGACGTTTGTGTTTCTTTTCCTTCTTTCTTCTTTACTCAAACTGATATTAACTCTCTAATATCGCTTGTATATCTTATTTGTTTATGTTGTAAATTCTCTCTTTCTTCTCTCTGCTCGTTCAACTGTCCATCTCTGTTTATTTCTCTCCTTTTTTTTCTTTTTGACTCTGGGTGTGTCGTGTGCCGGTAACTATTCTCATCACTGCTATTTTTGCTTTAATAATACTTATTCTCCTGCTTATTATTATTATTACTATTATTATTATTATTATTATTGTCGGGTTATGAGACTGCTGCTTCACCTGCAAAAGCTCACTCTTTGAAAAATATGATTTCTTTAAAGGGCCCATATCTTTAAAAAACTCATTTTTGCTTATTTATTTTCAAAAAAGTTTCTACATTCACTCCCCACTCCATACGGCCCATATATGAGAATCAAGCTACAAAAACAGCCTGTTTGAATTTCTTATGGTTGTGATGTCACACATATTTCCATATGACCACCCATTCAGCCTGCAGCACTTTAGCTCCACCATTCAGCCTACAGCAGTTTAGCCCCACCCATTCAGCCTGCAACAGTTTAGCCACACCCATTCACCTTAAAGCAGTTTAGCCCCGCCCATTCAGCCTACAGCAGCTTAACCCCATCCATTCAGTCTACAGCAGTTTAATCCCTGCCCACTCACCCAAAAACAGTTTAGCCCCACCCATTCAGCGATCAGCAATTTAATCCCCGCCCATTCACCCTAAAACAGTTTAGCCACGCCCGTTCAGCCTACAGCAGTTTAGCCCCACCCATTCAGCCAACAGCAGTTTAGTCTCACCTATTAAGCCTACAGCAGTTTCGGCCCGCCCACTCACCCTAAAACAGTTTAGTCCTACCCATTCAGCCAACAGCAGTTTAGCCCCGCCCATTCAGCCTACAGCAGTTTAGCCCCTCCCATTCAGCTTACAGCAGTTTAGCCCCTCCCATCCAGCCTACAGCAGTTTAACCAAACCGTTGAAGTCATGTAGAGTGCTGCTCTTGCGGACTGCTTTTAGTAAGAGACACAATACAGGACAGCCAATCAGAACAGAGAATTTACACATATATTTACATATTTACATATGTTTTAAAGGCACAGTAGCAAAACCCTGCTCCTGAGGAATACAGAGAGACTGTAAAATGGTCATATAAATATGAATTGTGACACAAAACCACATAGACATCATACGTTGGGGAAAAACAGAAAGTACAATGACACACAACGATTATGGGCCCTTTAAAGACTTGCAAGTAAATCCGCATCCACACATTCCCCACTCAGACGAGCCTCTTCACGTGTTTTCATGATGTCGTCCCGCTCATTTCCACTGTTCTCATTTAAGCATTTGTGTGTGATGTGCTTCTCTCTCTCTCCTGCAGATGGAGGTAGTGAGCACCTTCAAGAGAAGTGGTTCGTTTCAGGGTGCAGTGAGGCGCCGCTCGTCCGTGCTGAGCCAGCTCCATGACGTAACCAATATTTCTAGTCCCACACACCTAGTTCTATCTCCTGCCAATGCAACTGGTGCCCCCGGGAGTGAGTTCCAAAATACGCTAAACGGCACAGAGCCGCTACACTCACGCAACGAAGATGTCTAGCCCACACACACGTACACACTCACAGTCACACACAAACAGACACGAGCATCATTACCTGCCTTCAGATTGTGATTCGGCTGCTCAATGTGAGAGAGAGAGAGCAAAAGAGAGAGAGACTAGCCCCCCCGCTTCAGTGCTGTTTTCAACTTGCACTTGTCCACTAGCCCTTTCCCCTTAAGGGAGAATCCCTGACTCCCTTGAGGGGGCTGTTCCATTACTGCATAAGCTTGGGTAAAGTTTTTCAGAGGGAAAAGGGATCGAGTCGGCATAAATGTGGCCTTCAGGTGCAGAACCAGCCCAGAAATCTTTGCGATATGCGAGTTTTCTGAAAGAAAAGAAGCCGACAAAGATGTTTATGGGCAATACTTTATTTTAAAGAAGTGAATATTTGCCACATTCACAAGTCGACTTCATGTAGAACACCTTTGATATGTATGGCACTCAGCAGATACTGCTATCCAGAGCAACCTGCAGTGTCCCTCCTCCCTTTGTCCTACGCGCGTTTAACCTCGGCAGTTTTCCGGCCTTCACTTCAGATTCAGATTCATACTGTCCTTCCAGAACATGAACGACAGTAAATGAAATGTAAGGGAATGAAATGAGGGACTCAAGCAATAATAAAATCAAGAAGACAACACAGTTAAAAATAAAACAGGTGAAAAAATATATAAATATGAGGACGTGATGCTGGTTGTCATGGTAACGTCTACACTAAGCGGTTCTCTACGCTTGCACGTCGTTTTGGATCGGATTACTTGTAGTGTGGATGTAAACAGAGATTTTCATCAGATTGTTCAGTAGAGTGAGAATGAAAACCTCAGTCTTAACCTGTAATCGGAATGTGTTCAATCGGATTGGCAGAAATCTGCATGTAAACACAGACAGTGATTGGACGAGTTGATGTCGCCTAGGAAAGTTTGCAAAAATCAGATTGTTGTCCTTTTCTGCAAATTTAATGGAACACAGTTGTCTTAAATAAGTAACACTGTTCCTTCTGTCCCATAACTGCCCAAGTCTGAGCTTCTGCACACCTGAGTCGTGAGGTTAGTCAGCAAGGCAGCAGATTAAAGCAGTACTGAACAGGGTGAACTCTGAACTCTCTCTCTCTCTCTATCTGTCCATTTCTGTTCGTGCTCACGCTTTTCCACTGGCTGTGTCTCCACTCGTGTCCCTCCTTCACTACCTCATCATCCTCAGGCTGGATTTCTGTGCTTTGCTTCTACAATTTTTTTTTCAGCTGCCTTTATTTCTCTAAAAGCCTTATTCTCTCTCTCTCTATTCTGTCTCTCTCTCCTCCCTCCCTCACCCATTCACCCATTCAGTAATTACGACGCGGTCATGGAAAGAGCCGCTTTCATTCCAGTCATGTAGAGACACTACATTCCCACTGTTTCTGCTGCTGGTTCGTTTTCCACTCTCCTGAAACGCTTCACCAAATTTAAAACCGGTGCCGGAGACGCGTAGACGAGTGCTGTGAGCTCAGAGACGGCTGTAAACTGACGAGTATAGGCCCATGATGGTTCTGACGAGAACGCTGCTGACCTTTTCTTTGTCCTGTTTAGGAGCACATGCATCATTTTCTGCTGTTGCATGCTCATTGGCTCTAACTTTCGGGGTTTTGTTTTTGGATTTCTTAACCTTTAGAAGTCTGGAGTTATTGTCGTTTTTGTTATACATTCAAAATTGTTTATATGCATTTACATTAGGGCTATCAAACGGAAAAATCATGATTAATGGCATTGTAATTATTCGCATTTAAATCAAATTTGATAAGAAACTAGAAAGATGTTTTCCATTTAGAATAGAATAGGATTCAGAACCACTGGCCACCTGTGTTTGCACACAGATGACCTCCGCATTCAACCCATGCGTGCAGTGAAACTCCGACATACACACACACACTAGAGGGCAGTGGGCAGCCCTACCCATGGCACCCAGGGAGCAGTTAGGGTTAGGTGCCTTGCTAAGGGCACTTCAGCCACGTACTGCTCAGGGGATCGAACTGGCGACCTTCCGGACACAAGGCTGGTTCCCTGACCTCTAGCCCACGACAGCCCATTCGTCAGAATGTATTTATTACTTTCAATCATTCAGCAACTCGATTTTCCTCATGTGAGCACAGAATCTGAACATAAAAATGAAAATCACGTCATTTCCACAGAGTGAACTCAGTTTCCAATTTTAATCGCCGACGTCGAGTGAGAGCAACAGTTCCAACCAATGACTGCATATAAACATGTGGATGATTCCACTGAGCTGGTTCAGAGTCAGAGCTGAAACACATTTCGGTCTTTTAACTGATCTTAGACTTCAGACTAAAATCTTTTGCTCTGAGTGACTCTAAACCTTAATTATGCTTATTTTATTAAAACTAATGGTTGAACATTCCATTTAGTCTCTACCAAAACAATCATAACTCTACCACACTGTACCAGATGTTTCAGTAGTGACTGTTTCAGTGACAATTTTGGCTCATTTTGAGCTCAGAAACTAAGCAGTTAATGAGCAGCAAACACAGCTTTGAACAGCTGTTCACACAGAAAATCATCATATTTTACATTAAAACACTAAAAAGTGCTGAACTGCAGAAAATCTGACGATTCTTAATGTTCCACACTGATTTTCAGACTTTGGGACACATTTACTTCAAAACAATGAGATCTAACTGCTCACCATGTGGCCATGAGGGACAGGGATGCAGCCTCACTTCCTGCTCTAAAATGCAGGGGTGTGGCTAAAATAAGGCTCCGCCCACAGACTAAAACTGTGTTTCGGTAGTCACATGAAAATGTGGGATGTCATTTTTTATCTATTGAAAAATTAAACTTATGATAAATCTAAATCTCTAATTTTCACTTTCATTTCAGAAATCAAAAAATATCTTTTAAAAAAAAACTGGGGAAAAATACAAAAAAATTTAAATTTAAGTGTAAATTTAAGGGTTAGGGTTTGGGACAGACAGCTCCCAATAGAAAGTACCCTATAAATGATGATTTTGTATATATTTAGCTTACTACTATTTCTATTTATATCTTGGGTTTTAATAGATCATAACATAATATATTGTAAATATCTAAGATCTTTATTGTTTAATACTGTGTTTTTACTATAGGAGCACAGTTTGAACTGATTGGGTAGAACTGTCTATATACAGTCGCTGAGTGTATATATCATATACTGTATATCTTATATATAGTCAGTGGTTCAGCTCTGTGATTGTATCTCTCACTCTCATTCGTACAGTTCGTGGGTTCTTGTTTCAGTGGAGGATTTCAAGGGGAGCTGGAGCTCCACCAGCTGCTGCTTTTGTTAGTTTGCTGCTCGTTGATTTATCCATAGTTCTACTGCGAGTGTCCAGCGGCGTCTGCTGAAGGAGCTGAAGGTTTCGCTTTAAAAGACGTTTAAAAGCTGTGTTTGAACGAAAGCTACGATCACAGCTCGTACACTGTCTGAAATAAAGGTTCTGTTCAGGTACATTTTTCGTTCATCAAGGTACAAACAGTGTAAATGTTCCCTCAAAGGTTCAACAGTGGTTTTAAGGTCTGATTGTGAACCTTAAATAAGTTGTTCCAGGTGAAAAGTTCATATTTGTACCTTTTCATAACCGAATGTTTTAAAACAGAACAGTAAAATAAAAGCCTGGAGACGAGACGGGGTGTGTGGAGTCAGTACAGCTTAGAACATATCATTTCAGTGGATTATGGTTCAGTTATGTTCCCTGACTAAAGGTACTGAGATGGAGCCTTGAGGGTTCCACCCCAGTGACAAGAGGGGAACTGACCCAGTGACAGTTTAGCACCTTTATTTCTGAGAGTGTACAGCTGACTGCAGCTGGGCTTCAGCCTGCACTATTACAGACGGGGCGAACGAGAAAAATATGTGAACGACATATTTATAAAATTACATAATCATTTAATTAATAACAGTTATTTACATAATAGATTATTCTGACATCAGATTTACATTCTGTAACGACAGTTTCGAGTCTAAGCTTCCTGTTTGATTTGATGTCAAAAAGGACATTGAAAAAATCTAAAGGATAACCTCATCAAATTCAAATCGTAATAAAATTTAGAATCTGCACTTTCCACAGTTTCTCCTCTTGTTCCAATAAGCTACGCGTCAGAAAAAATTGTATATAAAATTACAGCATGATTTTGTTATCGCCGACAATAACTCAGTGGTTTCTAAGGGTTAAGAGCTTCTATCTTTCTCTCCTCTTGCAGGCTCTGAGTTGTAAACTGATATGAAAACTTTCTTTTCTTATTACCTCCAGTTGTTTTTTTCTGATCATAACAATCTTTTCCTTCTTGTTTACTGTTTCAATTCATTTCTAATGAATTAAGATCGTTTAGTGCATGCTAGAGTTGTAGTGTAAAGTTGTAGTGGGAAAATGCTGCATAAGGTTGATTTTGGATTTGTTTATTTGTACCTCGCTGATAAAATGTTCCAGTAGGTGGCGGCAGGCTGACCTGTGCCTTAATCTAGTCCATGTCACTGCAGATGTAGTTCTCTTTCTTTGCTCCCTTTCAGTTCCTTCAGTTTCTTTTTCTAAAGTGGAAATAAATGTTTCTTTTCTCTGATCTTCTCTCTCGCTCTCTCTCTCTCTCTCTCTTTCTCTCTCTCTCTCTCTCTCTCTCTCTAATATCAGGATTTTGTCCGTTCTGTCTTGTTCTGTCCCGTCATTCCACGGAACAAATATCTCAGTATATTTGTTCACCGTTTCCTTCATTATTATGTTTTGTCACGTTTGTCCCAGTTTGTCGGTTTTGGTTGGTTGTGCAAGATTAAATAGCGTAAATTCCTAATAGTGCTCAAAGATTTGTCTAAGCTGTGATGCTGGATTGTACTAAAAATTCTGCAAAACTGAT